AGTGGAAAAACTGAGGCATTGTGAAGAGAATCTAGTCAGTAGGACTGAATAAATGTTAATGGTTATGGAAGATATTGACATCAGAAGAGATTACAAGAAGAGTGCACAGGATTTTTAATTCCACAAATCAAAACTTTCAAAATACAAAGCTTAAAATAAAAACATTTGCTCTAACTTATGTAAATCAGACATTTAAAGGTACCGTAAAATGTAAAAGGAAACTGAATACAAAGATTGTCAGATTATTGGGCAAAAATTTCAATTTCATAAAAATAACGTTTTCATCAAAACACCATTGTTCTTCCCCAGTTTTATAGGAAGAAAAGTGTTCAGACACTACTTATGGCTCAATTCTCTGATAGTCACTCCCTGTGAAGGAACCACGAAGAGGAGGATATTGAACCAGATTTTCCATTTTTTAACGACTATACAAACCTGACTTCATAAAGGTGTTATACCTCTAAAGGGTTGGAGAAATAACTTGGCACTGGTCAGTTTTGAACCGGAGTTTGCCCCAGTTAAAAAATCTGTCACTACATGGCCCCAAGCATCACTGAGTGTACTCCTGCAGATTTTCAGTACCATTGGGGTAGCTCTGGAGGTCCCTGGCACTGCAGAGCCCAAGCAGCACCTCAGGACCCAGCACTAAACCATATGTATGGCCCAACTGGCCAAGTGTCATGGGAAATATCCTGTGGACCCTTAGAGCACTGCTCCTCCCTTCAACAAATCAAACCTAACAGTATATACCATATTCACATATAATAATTCAACATATTCACTTTTATGTATTAAAAATTCACATCAAGGTTTCAACTGGAAAGGTTATCTGCTACAGCTATGAAGGTTTGATTAAATTTTGCCACCTAGTGGTGACCAATGACTACAGACAAACTGAAACATCTGAGGGTATCTATACCTTTGGTAAGAATGACTACTGGAAGAAAAGTATTGACAATGTATACCTAACATTGGATATAATCTAAATTAATGTATTTCAAAAATAGAATATTTAAGTAACAGAGTACCTTACAGGCTTCGTAAGCAAATAGGACATCCGATGTACATTAGACATCAGTATATATATTTTTTTCTATTATACTATATTAGCACCATTTTAACATACCAAGTCATTACCTTTATTGTGTTTCCTTACAAAATATTGGAAAGGGAGCAAAAGACAGAGGCACTGAAGAGAAATATTTTGAATTATTGGAGGGTCTAAAACAAACAAAAACTAATGCTCTTTAAGGTGAGCCACCCCACTATGTACAAAATGGAAAAGAGCAGGGAAACAGGTAATGCAAGAGTATGCAGAGAATATAAAATGGGAACAGCGTCTACTTTTTATAACTTAATTCACTGTGTTTCAATGTATAACACACTTAGCCCCCTAACTGCTATACCTAGATCAATAAGCTGATGCAATACAACAAATAACGAAAATTTTAATATTATACCAGATGACAGGAAAAGTTTCTAACTAAGTATCTTATAGTTTCTAACTATAAGAAAAATAGTAAATAGTAAAGGCCCTCCCGTTGTTCATCGATTTGCTCGAGCGGGCCCAGCAACGTCTCCATTGGAGACTTTGTTGTTACTGTGTTTGGCATATCGAATACATCACGGGTGGCTTGCCAGGCTCTGCCGTGCAGGCGAGATACTCTCGGTAGCTTGCCGTGCTCTCTGGCATAAGAAAAATAATTCTGGATTTTCAGAGGCGGGTCAAATATGGTGAAGGGTGCCCTGGGATTCACACTGGGCCCAAAATATAAAGCACAAGTGACCAAAGGCATTCCCAACAATGAAGGAGAGTCCCTTTCTCCCTGCATCCTTGCCAGCACTGATTGTTCTGGTTCTTTTTGATGTGTCAGTGTCCGTGGCCTGAGATAATGCCTCATTGCTTTGATTTGCATTTCCCTGATTAGTGATGCAGAGTATCTTACCATGTGTCTTTTGGATATTTGTATTTCTTCTTTGAGGAAATTTCTGTTCATCTCTTCTCTCCACTTTTTGGTGGAATTTGATGTCTTTCCTTGTAAAGTTCTACCAGTGTTTTATGTATCTCAGATATTAACACTTTATTGGATGAATGGTGGGCAAATAGTTTCTCCCAGTCTTTGTATTCCAGTCATCATTTCCTTTGTAGTGCAGAATCTTCTTAATGTAGTCTTATCTGTAAATCTTTGCTTCTGCTTGTTTGGCTAAAGGAGTTGCATCTTTTTTGTTTGGGGCTTTGGGGTCACACTTGGTGATGCTCAGGAATTACTCCTGGGAGTGCTTGGGGAGTCATATTTATTTACATATAGAAAAGCATGTTTTGCATGTTTATTTTGTAGTCTTGACACTTTCACTATACATGTCTAATGTTTTTACCTTTTTTTTTGTAGAATTTTTAAGGCTAACTATTGTATTGTCACCCAGTGAGAACTTGAAATCCACTCCTTGCTGAATTGCTATCACAAGTACTTCTAGTACTATATTAAATAGCAGTAATGGAAGTGGACAACCTTGTCTTAGGACTTAAAGAGGCTTTTAATTTTTAATTAGGCTTTTAATTTAGGCTTAATTTTTCACCATCGAGTATATGCTGAAGGGCTTGTGGTAAATGACTTTGATTATAATGAGAAAGCTCCAAGTCCCATTTTGCAATGTACTTTTTGTATGACTGGGTGCTTTCTGTTGTCAGATGCCTTCCCTCCATTTATTATGCTCTTTATTTTTGTGTTAATATTGTGTACAGCCTTGATTCACTGTGTATGTTAAATCACCCTTACATCCCAGGGATGAATCCCATTTGTTCACCGTTTGTGACCTTTTTGATGTTGTTGGATTTGATCTGCTAGTGTTTTGTTGAGGATATATTATGCATCAAAGTTCATTAGGGATAAAGGTAAAGGTAAAGGCCCTCCCGTTGATCGTCGATTTGCTCGAGCGGGCCCAGTAACGTCTCCATTGGAGACTTTGTTGTTACTGTGTCTGGCATATCTAATACTCTCAGTAGCTTGCCGGGCTCTCCGAGAGGGGCGGAGGAATCGAACTCGGGTCGGCCATGTTGGCTGCGTGCAAGGCAAACGCCCTACCCGCTGTGCTATCACTCCTGGGTCTCTAATTTTCCTTTGTTGTATTGTCTGTGTTTGATTGTATTACCGGAATGTTTGCTCACAGAAACTGGTGGTGGTGGGGTGTTTGATTTTCTGAGAGCTTGAAAAGCAGTGAGAGCAGCTCTTCTTTAAATATTTGGAAGAACTCACTAGTGAACCCATCTGGATCTGGATTTTTTTTTTAACCATTTCAATTTCGTCAGTAGTAATTTGTCAGTTCAGGTGCTGTGAATCTTCTTGGTTCAGTCTTGGGAGGTATAGGAGTCCAAGAATTTATCCATTTATTTCTTCCAGGTTTCTCCACTTTCTGGCATACAGATTTTTAAAGCATTAAGGATTTTTAATCCTTTGAGCTTTTTTTCTTTTTGAGTCACACCTGGTAATGACAGGGGTTACTCCTAGCTTTGTACTCTGGAATTACTCCTGGCAGTGCTATGGAATGCTGGGAATTAGCCTAGGTCGGCCGACTGCAAAGCAAATGCCATACCCACTGTATTGTTGCTCCAGCCCTCCTTTGAACTTTTTTTTTATCTTTAATTAAAGATACAATTTTTTAGTATCCATTGTGACACTCCTTTTCATTTCTAACTCAGTTTGTTAGGATTCTCTTTGAGAGTCTTCCCTGTGGTTTACCAATCATTGTTTTTTCAAAGAACCAGCTCCCAATTTCATTAATCTTTAGAACTGTTTTCTTGAATTTGCATTGGTTAATTTCTGCTGTAAGTTTTATTTTTTTTTCCTCCTGCTTTGGGCTCCTTTCGTCGATCCTTTTCTAGTTTTGTAAGCTGTGTGGTTAGGTTATTTATGTGGGCCCTTTCTTCCATTCTGAGAGGAATGCTTGCTTAGCTATAAACTTTCTTCTTGACACTACTTTTACTGTGTACAATAAGTTCTGGCAACTCATGTCCTTGTTCTCATGTTTTCAGAAATCTTTTTATTTCCTAATTTCCTTTTTGGCTCACTGGTAGATCAGTAATGAGTTGTTTAATTTCCATCTATTTGACTTACTCATTTCTGTTGTGATTAACTTCAATTTTCAGTGTGTCATGTCTGAGAAGGTTTTTTTTTTTTTTGAGGCATGTTTAGTGATGCTGCATATGGTTTATCTTGAGAATGTTCCACATCCACTGGAGAAGAATGTATTCAGCATTTGGGGCGGGTTGGGGGGGGGGGGGGTCAAAGCGATACACACACACACACATACACAAACATACCTACACACACAAAGCCCCTCTTTTTCATTTTTTCCCTCCAAGACAGTATTTCCTTACTGAGTTTTAGTCTAGTGAGAGGTGTTGATGTCTCCAACTACTATTGCGTTCCCATCAGTGTCCTCATTCAAGTCCATGAGCAGATACACTATTTTGTTGGTCCCATATTAAGTGCATATGTTCAGCAGTGTGAGTTCTTCCTGATGTACATATCCCTTGATCATTAAGACATAACTTTCTCTGTTCCTTATGAGTTTTAAAGACTAAAATCTATGTTGCTCGATACCAATGTGGTGAACCTGCACAAAAAATCAATTTGGACCCACATCTCACACCATAAATACTTGGGAGGGTAAGCAAACGAAAACAAAAGAAACAAACAGGAAAACATGAATCAAAAATACACATCATTGTAGGGATGGAGCAATAGCACAGAGGGTAGGGCATCTGCCTTGCATGCAGTCAACCCCAAGTTCGGTCCTCAGCATCCCGTATGATCCCTTGAGCACTGCCATGAGTAATTCCTGAGGGCAGAGCCATAAGTAGTAACCCCTGAGTATTGCCAGGTGTGGGTCTTCCCCCTGCCCCTACAACCAAATATTCATCATTTAATTTAGAAACATTTTTCCTTAAAGTGTTCTTCAGAGAAAACACCATATAAATTTTTGATAAAAGAGAAAACCAATCTCTTTGCATTCATTTTTATTAAACAAATAAGGCTGGTAGTGGAACTACTTAATGCATAAACATGTAAGTCCCTTTATTAGAGAAATTATATATAGGTGAATATGGTCAATGGTAACATCTATGAGTTATTCCTTTAAAAATCAGAACTAATAATTAGGAGAGGGTCTATGCTCTCTTCATTACATTGTGAAGTGTCTTGTGTAGTCATATTCTATTGTTGGAATGACAGCTTGTACAAATTTCAAGAAAATTAGAAGATACCTAAAAGTCTTTAGTTAAGGAAAATCCATTGATAAATGGCTCTATGATTTAAGTTGCATTATTACAATTTTATCATGCAGTAATTTCTCAGAAAATATGTGATAAAATCTTCTATGTAGGACAGATAGGAGTTTCATAATCAGCCACTGATTATGAAAATATATGATAAAATCCTAAGTATTGAAATAAACTTATACTACTACCTAAACATTAGATACTACATCTTTCAGAAGCTCACCAATCCATGACATTTGAAAATAAAACTGAGTAAAAGTTATAATAAACCCAATTATCTTTTACATAAATAAAAATTAGTCGTGGTTAAGTGAACTGAAAATGTTCACACTGGCTTTAAGTTTACTGAAGAGTATTTTAAAAAGCGGCAGGATAAAGAAAATAAAAATATTGGAATAAGACAGAAAAAATAAGTGGAAACTCAGCAATTGGATTGATAGTGATTAGTATTATTTACTTATATTGAACACTATATTGAACAATCCCAAGTGGGCACCAGTGACATCTCCATTGTGAGACTTGTTACTGATCTGGCATACCGAATACACTATAGGGAGTTTGCCAGGCCCAGCCATGCGGGTGGGGTACTCTTGGTACCTTGCTGGGCTCTCCAAGAGGGATTGGGCCACGTGCAAGGCAAACGCCCTACTCGCTGTGCCACTGCTCCGCCCAATCTTTAATGATATTTTGAAATTTCACGTTACCAGAAATGTGCTTCCTCATCAGGTAAAAGTTTCTTTATACATGTTAAATTTGGAATATATTTAAGAAAAAACATCTAAAATATGTCTGATCATTTAAATCGTTTACCTATCAACTTTCATTAATAATCTAAATTCACTGAGCTTCTTCTCCATCAAAATTAAGTTCCATAATCGCAAGTCCTAGTCTGGCAAACTGCAATGTTAAGTACTTGAGCTCGAGCTTCTTGTAACAAGGCAGATTTAACTGGTGTGCTAACAACTGAACAAAGCACAACTATCACAGTATAACATTTTTTGATAAACTGAGGTCTTATGCTAAGACATTCAGATATCATGGGCTAAAATAAATCATAGCTATACATCAGACTAACATTTTTTCAGCTACGCTAATAAATATAACAGATCGGTTACACTGTAACATTAAGGCATTTCAAGTAAAAGAAAAAACATTCTAGGAACCAATTTATCACTAACCATAAGCAAAGGTAAGGATACATATGAACACCAAGTTCTCCCCCTCCTTCAGCAACAGTCTCAATGATTTTCTTCATCACCTCAGCATGCCTAATGCAAAAGAATAAATCATATTAGCATAGATCTATTAGGAAAAAAAGGAAAAACAATGTTTTGTTCGTACAGTCACCTACCTGTGACTTACTCTGAGCAAACGATAGCTATACTGAAAATTATTTCCTACGTTCCTCAACAAGTCAGACTGTCAAGTCATGTTGACAGTTTTACTGAAGATGTTGACAGATAGGAGTTTTAAATAGCTACGGTAGTCACAAAGGAACAGAATGGTGTTAACAAGTGTTTCTATGAGGGTGAAACCATGAAGGAAAGACACCAAAAGAAGGGAAAATCAGGCAAGAGAGAAGTACAGATCTATTCTGAGAAAGAGTAATGAGATTAAGTAAAATTCTGAAGTGCAATGAGGAGCTGAAGAGATAGTATAGCAGGTAGGGTGTTTGCCTTCCACACAACAGACTAAGGTTCAATTCTTGGCACCCCATATGGTCCTCCACAAGCCCCACCAGGAGTGATCCCTCAGCATAGAGCCTGGAGTACGTTCTGAGCACTGCATGGTGTGTCTCCCCCCTCCTACCCCCCAAAAAAACAGTAAAAAATAAAAATGAAATTCCATGGAAAGGGGATGATGGAGATAGGTCACATAGCAGAGAATGTGTTTTGCATGTGTAAAGGAATGAATTCAATCCCCAGCACCACTGTGATTCCTTAGCAACACCAGGTGTGGTCTCTTTGAAAAAAAAAAAATACACATACACACACACACATGCATCCAGGGCCTGAACTATAATTGTAAGAGGTTAAGGCACGTACCCTGCATGCACCTGATTCAATTCAAATCATGGCACCATACAGAGCCTCCTAAGAACCGCTAGGAGTAATCCTTGAGCACAGAGTCGGGAGTACCTCAGGATGTGGCCCCCCCAAAAAAACCAAAAACACCAGAGGTCCAGCCAGAAGTTCACAGTTAATGGTGAACAAAGTACATTTGGCTAAGAATAAGTTAAAACTCAACTGTGACCAAAGCCAGCAAATTTTGTTTTTTGTCCTACTGTAAAGAAGATACTTGTTTTGGCATTTTGCCCTATACACAATTTTTTTCCATGGCCAACTTTTATCTTTCCTATGCTTTATAAAAGATGATTATCAAAGTAATCATTTGCACATAAAAATACTGAGAAAGGACAATGTAAAAGATGATACAGATCTTGATTTAAAAAAATGAATATAACCTCTACACAGAGGTAGTCAACTTGGAAAATGACAGTAGGTATATTAGCACTGAGGATCTGAAACCCTCCATTTTAATATTTTTTGGTGGGGGGGGGTGGAGATAGGGGACTGGGGATTAAACCCAGGGCCTCACACATATAAAGCATGTTCTCTACTATTGAGCCACATTCCTAATCTCTAAAAAGTACAATTTAAGGTGGGGAACCACGGCAAGGACTAAAATGTCCTTGTACTCTCATTTATAGGTCAACGCTTATTTTTGTATATATCATATATATCCATTCCATAATAATAATTTTAGTAAAATGTTTAACACTAAGTACTAGTTAATCACTTCTCTCTTTTCCTCAACTAAGATTTACACATCAGAAAGGTATATGCATGTTTAATAAACACTATCATACTAAAACCTCAATAAGTGACATAGAATCATTCTCAATGTTCAACAAAACAAAAACCAAAAATGAGAAAACCTTTAAAATCAGATTATTCAAAACGAAGTGATAACAGAGTCACCTTTTGCAGTTGACAGTGTCAACACTTTTTGGTTTAATTTTAGATGCGATTTTTGGGCTGGCAGTGATAAGGGGATCATTCACAGCTCTTTGTGTGTGGGGTGTTCTTCCAGAGCTCAAAGGACCATGAGATACTTAGGATTCAAAGTTGGATTGATCATTCAAAACGAAGTGATAACAGAGTCACCTTTTGCAGTTGACAGTGTCAACACTTTTTGGTTTAATTTTAGATGTGATTTTTGGGCTGGCAGTGATAAGGGGATCATTCACAGCTCTTTGTGTGTGGGGTGTTCTTCCAGAGCTCAAAGGACCATGAGATGCTTAGGATTCAAAGTTGGATTATCAACAATTTTGACATTAATAAGCTGAGAAATAAAGTAGGCTTCCTATATGATAAATTTTGGAAACAAAAAGATTGCAAAGAGTTAAGAAGAAAATGCTAAAGGATTTAAAAAAACAGAACTTTCCATCTAATTAATTAATGTAATACCAGAATTTCTCAATGATTTGTAAAAATTCACTATAAGCAATAAACAACCTGAAGAATTATTTAACGTCTAAAGAAAAAAAATCACACACAAAGACATAGGTCTTAATTGAGCCTGTGGAAACTCTGATACAAAGAAAATCCCAAATTATAAAATAAACTTGATTTAATAGGGCTGAAAACCTCTGTACAGAACAAAAAAGGAGCCCAGAAACACTCTCCTTCAAAAAAGAGAAAAGAGATCACCTAGAAAAAGCACAAGACTCACTTTGTATTTCACATTTATATGTGTTAGTAGAGTAGTTAGTGGGGACTGAATGAAGTCCCATGGAACCCAGATAATGCGGAACTTCGTGACCTTGGACTCTGGACTCACCAGGACCCGGGACAGAGATCCTCTGCCTGCTTCTCCCAGTCTCCAATTGATCACTCAGGGATCACACCCATAAACCACACCCTGGTGGCACCAGATAATCTCCTCATCTGCCACCTTCCAGAACTCAGGATGCTCATCCCAGACCAGAGTATAAAATGAGGCTCCCAGAACCACGCCACTGGACTCCACACCAGGCTGCAGGGTGGGTGAGAGCCCTCCCTACCCCTGGCAGCTGACGTCCACTACCCAACCACTGCCACCCTCCAGGCCGCTTTCTGGACCGCAAGGCTGAAAGCGGCCACACGACACATTGTAAGACACTTCCTACTCATTTTCCACAAATACTACACCATATCTGAAGGGGTTCAGACAGTAGGCAACAAATCACAGAGAAAAATATATAAATATATGCCTCTCAGAGAGCCTGGCAAGCTACCAAGAGTATCCTGCCCGCACAGGCAGAGCCTGGCAAGCTCCCCAAAGCGTATTCAATATGCCAAATACAGTAACGACAACAGGTGTCATTCCCCTGACCATTAAAGAGCCTCCAATTGTTGGGTAAAGACAAGTGAGGAGACTGCTAAAATCTCAGGGCTGGGAGGAATAGAAACTTTACTGGCGCCCACTCGAGTAATTCGACAGGATGACAGTGATACAGTGACAGTAGAGCAAAAGCTGTCAAAATCTTTGTATTCCACATTCATACATGTCAAAAGAGCAAAATGTGTCCAGCTGATGAATGTTTTTAAAATCTAAAAAGGTTCTTCTGAACTATTCTTTTAAACTTAAAATTCGAAGATGATGAAATGCACAAGAAAATATTCTAAATAAATTAAACAAATTGTTTTTTCCCCCTTTTTTTAGCATAAGGATATTATCAGGGAATTAGGAATTTTATGTGTTTAATAAGGAGATTTTTTTCTTTTAGGAAAAAATGTATCCTTACAACTCCTAAACCATAAATTCATGAACACACACACACCTACACACACTCACAAACCTGCATGGGTGAACTGAACACATAGGAGGCGGTGGGAGATGAGGGTGATTTTCAATGGTCACTGTTTTCTTCACATGATCTTGACTAATATCTTCATACATGTGCTCAACTGTTAAAGGCTGTCGTTGCTGAAACCATAAAAAATACTTTAAAATTACTGCTTAAAAACTTTTAGGTCTAAATTTCAACACTAATATTAATCCTACCTTAGAATTAAAAAAATCGAGACTATTTAGAATTACCATATTATTTTGGAGAAAGTTTACAATTTAGTTATACCAAGAAGGGGAGAGAAATATATATATATATATATATATATGGTAAAGGTAAAGGCCCTCCCGTTGATCATCGATTTGCTCGAGCGGGCCCAGTAACGTCTCCATTGGAGACTTTGTTGTTACTGTGTTTGGCATATCGAATACGTCACGGGGAGCTTGCCAGGATCTGCCGTGATATATATATATAAATGTGTAACATCAGCCACCATCTAAAATACTACAGATTCTACTAAAATTTAAAAAAAAAGTTTCATAGCTTTTAAAACATTTTATAATTTTGATTTATGCGCTCATTTTTATTTCTTTTGTTATTTAGGGCTGGAGCGATAGCACAGTGGTAGGGTGTTTGCCTTGCATGTGGCTGACGTGCCAAACTGGGTTCAATTCCTCCGCCCCTCTTGGAGAGCCCAGAAAGCTACCGAGAGTATCTCGCCCACATGGCAAAGCCTGGCAAGCTACCCGTGATGTATTCGATATGCCAGACACAGTAACAACAAGTCTCACAATGGAAACGTTCCTGGACCCACACAAGCAAATCGATGAACAAAGGGAAGACAATGCTACAGTGCTTGTTCTTATTTATAGTCACCAGAAAAATGTTATGTGACTTCAGCTATGCTTTAAAATTCAATTAAGTGGATGATCAAAAAAAAGAAAAAGTTAAAAAAAAAATCATTCCTGAACGCATATACAGCTAATAAATGAGCTAATAAATCCCAAAGAAAACAAGTTCAATTTTCCTCATAAGCTGAAGGGATAGGCTTAGAGATTTATATATAAAGAAATAAATATATTATTTCTGCTAATTCTTGATAATGAGCTTTCGTGGATTATTCAGTTTCACATAAAAATCAGTGTATTCATACAATTGTAAAACAAATGATCTCGGAAACTTAGAAGACAGCATACACACATGGAGCAAATGAAGAAACAAACCCCAAATTAAAAATATTTACATAAAAATGTATTTTTTAATACTTTTACCTCATCATAGCCAAACAGCCATAGTCGAGGTGTCTGGTAATATTTATCATAAGTGATGTATAGGTCATATGTTCTGGTTTGCAAAATAGCATCTTCACCTCCAGCCTCAGTTTTGGTTTTACAAGACTCTACTATTTTCCTTGTGTCGAGAGTAGCCTGGTTATAATGGAGAAACGGTTTAATACCATTAAAGTTAACAAATATAAATGTCATTTTAGAAAATCTATTGCTTTTTCATCCTATCTTTTTCCAACAGCAGTTATAACTTTAAACTCCAAACAAAAATGTAAATACATAAAAAACATATCTGAACGATCAAGATATTATTAATACAAATCCCCAAGTGTATTAAATGTTAAAGTAAATTTGATTTACAAACCTCATCTGTTTCCAAAAGTCCACTCTCTTCATATTCTGTTATAAAAAGGAAAAGATATTAAATCTAAGATTATTTCTGAAACCAAATTATACAATGTTTTTAAATTGCCTGTTACTTTGTTTTTCAAGTGAAGATAATAGAACAAACTCTGTACTTCCAGAACAGCAATTTCCCAGACAGCCAGAGAAAGTTAGCATGCCCATAACTTGGTCTGTGCTACAGGTCACTAGTTATACCAATGTCATAAGAACACTATACTGTAGTTTTCAGAAATTCCACAGGCTACATATACAAATCCATGAAACAGACTCATGAAGGTAATTCAGTAAGTGAAATAAGTCAGAAAGACTCTGGGTAAACTTTCTCTCCTATATGGAATATAACTTATGAGAGCAATGAACAAATCACAATAAAAATAAATTTTATGGGGGGTGGGAGGGATACTGGGATCCGTGGTGGTAGAAAATGGGCACTGGTAGAGGGATGGGTATTTGATCATTGTATAACTGAAAGCCAAGCACAAAAATTTGTAAGTCTACAACTGTACCTCATGGTGTCTCACTAATAAAAATAAAAAAAAGAAAAAATCCAAACAAATAAAAAAAACTTTTAAACTTTGGCATAGTGGGGTGTAGGATAGCATTGTTTTGTCCTTCCTGCATAGCCTCAGATAGTGTGGGCTTATTGGGTTGCTCCCATCACAGTGCTCCCATTCCTCTGTGTTTATTTGTAACCTCTTTCTTTGTGCTCTGCTTCCCCAACTGGTGAATCCCCTTTATCTCCTAATCAGACTTTGTTATCATGTAAATACTTCTTTTCTCTTCTCCTTAAATCCTCTGTATAGTTAATTCAGAGCAATGTCCTTTTTGCATGGACACAAGACAGTTAATGCTATGCTTTGGAAACCTCAGAGTTAATTGACTCTGAATGATATTCACTCCTGGACATCTGTTCTCTCCACTTAAGTCTCAGTTCCCCTTACTTCCTAGCAACCCAAAAGCAGGGTCCCTCTGAGGGACTGGATGGACTCAGGGCAAGCTGTGAGCTTCCCTGGCACCGAAATGGGGCTGGCCAAAGCGCCATAGTACTTAACTATAAGTTAAGAGCATGGACAAATTCTGTTGTGATCCAAAAATAAGAACTAAAGTAGGACCCTGCTAGGGTTAGAAAAGATTAATCTGGCCTGAGCACTGTAGTCTGAGATCTATAGCAAGATGTCCCCAGGAGAGTCAACCTGGGGACATCATTGATACAAGCTTAATGTATCTCCTACCGTGTCCATACAAAATAATTATTAAGTAAAATTAAGATGTTAATTAAGTTATTGGACTTGAAGAGGAGAAACACCCCTAGGTATTTTTTCAACCCTTGAGCCTGATTGGCGATCAGAAAGGTCTTTTGATAATGTTGATTGACTACCTCCCATGCTGGGGAGTTGGAGAGAGAGAGACCAGCGCAGCAAGCTGGAGCGCAGAGGGACTAGTAAGGAGGACAGGGGGAGAACGTAGGGGAAGAATGCAGGAACAGGCGTGTGGAGAGATGAGATGAGGCCTCAAGAGGGAGTGCGGGAGACAGGAGGAGATGAGAATGAGGGGCAGTGTGAGACTAAAATGGGGAGCTTAGTGAGATTGGAACAGGCATGTGGGGAGAATGGAATAAACAGGAACTGACCATCAACCAGCCAGGTGCTGGTTTCCTCCTTTGTCTACCCACCCATGGCCTGGGGCGTCCCAAGTGGGCGAGCAGCCTGAGACCACCAAACGCAGGAGCCAGGGGAACGAGCAGTGGGGGATGAGGGGGAGAAAGTTAGAGATCAACCTGAGAGTGGCATTAGAAATTTATGTTGGGTGTACTGAGGCTTACACAAATTTAGAGATGTTGGTCCTCCCAAAATTATGTAATTCTGTAAACTAAAAAGGTAAATAAGAAATTTAAAAGAAAACTAAAGTCTTCCGTGATTTCTACTTGGCTGCATTTAGTTTTAACTACCCATTTTTTAAAATCTTAATCGAACTTAAATATTTCTAAAGATTTTTTCCCTTCACCTTTGAAACGACTGTTCTGTGTCTTTTTACGGTGTCTGCCCCCGAGCTTTCCCCAGACCTCTCTACCTTTCCCTTCACTATTTGCTCTATGCTGGTACCTTTTGTCATTTCAATCTCTGTTTGTGGCTCCACTGAATAATTAGTGGGCAACCCAAATATAACATGACCAAAACAAAGACTTTGTCCCCTATTCAGTCCTGCAATTCTCCCCATCTCACTTAACATGATCTTTTTCAGATATTCAGGTCAAAACCTATGGAGCCACACTTGACCCCCCCGATTTTTTGTTTAAATTTTTATTAGTGAGACACCACGAGGTACAGTTGTAGACTTAACAAATTTTTGTGCTTGGGTTTCAATTATAGAATGATCAAATACCCATCCCTCCACCAGTGCCCATTTTCCACCACCACAGATCCCAATATCCCTCCCACTCCCCACCCCCCCATCCGACCCTGCCTCTGTGGCAGGGCATTCCCTTTTGTTCTCTCTCTCCTATTGGGTGTTGTGGTTTGCAAAAGAGGCAATGGGTGGCAATCATGTTTGGTCTATAGCCTACTTTCAGCATGCTTCTCCCATCCTGGGAGGATCTTCCCAACACCCTTTATTTTAGAAATTGAGCTCCCATTTGATCCAGCAATACCACTCCTGGGAATATATCCCAGAGAGGCAAAGATGTATGGTCAAAGTGACATCTGCACTTGTTTGTTCATTGCAGCACTCTTTACAATAGCCAGAATCTGGAAAAAACCTGAGTGCCCGAGAACAGATGCCTGGTTAAAGAAACTTTGGTACATTTACACAATGGAGTACTATGCAGCTGTTAGAAAAGTCATGAAATTTATATACAAGTGGTACTGCATGGAAAGTAACACTTGACCCTTCTGTCCTTCACATGTCACAGGGACTAGAAGCAAATCCTTTAGACCCTACCCTCAAAATATTTTCAGAATTCATTTCTCATCACTGTTGATTTACATCCAAGCACAAACTGTGTTTCTTATACAGATTATAAAAATATCCCAACTGCTTTGGCAAATTATAGTGATTACGCTAAATCACTATAATTGATAGTGATGCAATTATAGTGATTAGACTAAAATATTAAATCTCTTTCTAATCTGCTTTTCTATAATAGCAGTCCCTCATTTTGAGCCAGGACCCTAGATGATTTAGTTCCTGACCTATCACTTTGCCTCTGTGTCCTACTACCCTTCCCTCACTGTTCTCTGGACACAGGCATCTCTTATCAGTTTTATATAAGACCACATGCTGCTCCCACTAAAGAGCCTTTTACCCTTGCTCAGATATCCGAATAGCTTGTTCACTCTGTGCCAAGCTACCCAGCCAATCTACTTAAAATTGTGACGCTACTCATTCCACCCAAGACCCTTTTATCTTTTTTCTTTACTGTCTCCCCTTTGTTACCAGTTCCATGAGATCATGTCTGATCCTTTATTTCCAGCACCAAAAACACATATAACGCATTGCTCAATAAATATTAACCAAAGAATTAAAATTACCTGTTATATTAGAAACCTAATAAATTTAAGCAAACTTCCAAATAGAGCAACTTTTTAACTATTCAAGGGAAATTTAACAGACAGTCAAATATAGCATTTTGTGTGTACCTGCTACACTGATAGAATATAAAACTTTGTATCATCATATACTTAAGAACTTGCAATTGTTTTACTTACTGCTATAGTGGATTTCAACTTCCTATAACAGTGATTTATTAGTTTAGTAATAAATACACATGCAATCTCAACAAACTTAGGAGAGCATTTCAAAACTCTCAAGGAACAGTCTAGAAATGCTGTGCTACACAAAAGGTCTTATTAAGACTCACTCTCTTCATGTTTTTGTAGTAAGATGTTACTAAAAGGAAGAAAATACAAATGCACATGAAAATTTTGTTCTGCTCTGAAAGTTTTAAGAATGTGTGTGTGTGCTGTATGAATGAAATCCAATCATGAACAACGACTTTGTAATCGTGCATCTCCTGGTGATTCAATTAAAAAAATAAAGAATGTGTGTGTGAATGGAACACTATGCAGCTGTTAGGAAAAAATGGAGTCATGAAATTTGCTTATACACCGAGAGTATCATGCTGAGGAAAAGAGGCAAAAAATGATTGTACTCATTTGTGAGATATTAAAAAACATCTTTGGGATGCTTTTGTTAATGACGGTAACAAGATATTAAACAAGGACCAAGAGGAATGGTACATGGTAGAAAGCTTGCCACAAGTGGGGAGGTGAAGTGTAGTTAAAACAAAGAAGGGAACAATATGGCAATGGCAGTTGGAAATGACCACTCTGGACAAATAACAGTGCTGAAAGGAGGTAAAGTGGTATGCACAATACCCTATCAGTTTTAACAGTACTACAAATCGCAGTGCCTAAAAGGAAAATATGGGGAGGGGGAGGCTGGGGAAAGAGGGAAGGAGGGAGGTAAAGTGCCTGCCAAACAGGGGGGAAGGTGGGGTGGAGAAAGGTAGGCAGGAGGGAAACTGGGTACACTGGTGGCAGGAAATGTGCCCTGGTGAAAGGATGGGCGATGGAATACTGTATAACTGAAACTCACTCATGAACAACTTTGTAACTGTGATCTCATGATGATTCAACAAAAAAAAATGTGCATGCATGCCTGCATGTGTTACTAAACCCAGGGCCAACAGTTTAAGAATATGTGTGTTGTGCACGTGTGTTTGTGTACTGAACTCCGTCACATGCAAGGTAACTGATCTACTATTGAGCTCTAATCCCATCCAAGGAATCTTTATTAGAACAATACTTTGCATTCAAGAGTTAATGGCTAATATTTATCTCAATAGAAAAGCTCCTGACAAGGCCGTGTTCTCAACAAAGTAGTAGTAGTAGTAGTAGTAGCAGTAGTAGTTAGTAGTAGTAGTAGTAGTAGTAGTACCCAACTCAAGAAACTATACACTGATTATATTTAAACTTAAGCATAAATCGAACGCTCTCCAGAATGCTAAAATTTCTGAATTTTAATTTAACTGAATGGAGTGAAATTTTAAACCCACAAGAATCACAAATATTTTAAAAATAGTAATTCCATTTTAATTAAAGGAAATCCAGAACACAAAATACCTTCCATATCTGCAGCTTCTCCCTCCTCTTCCTCTTCTTCTTCCTCACACAATGCTGAGCAATCTTGGAGTTTCATACTGTCCTTTGAAATTAATTATATTGTAAATTACTCAAATATGTTCAGTAGTTTAAACTCTAAGAATTCATATGCCAGCAATATACCAAATAATGTGAAACTAATAATTCTTACTCTCATCAAAACTCCTACCCAGACAAAGTCATTTAAAATAATGTGATAAGTGCTATAACTAAAAAATTCTAAGGTGCAGTATTAACATTAACATTAGTCATTAACAAAATATTTAAATGTTATCAAAGGAACAAAAAATTATCTAAGCAAACAAATCAAGTTCTTAGTTGCTGGGCTAGGAAGATAGCGCAAAATGGCTAAGCCCATACTCAGCGTGTAGGAGGTCTAGGTTTGATTCCCAGCAACACATGGTTTCCTAAATATCAAAAGAAATGATTCAAAAGAAAAACAAAAAATTGTTTCCTCAATTCCCTACAAAGCAGTTTTTAGTTAATTAGTATTGGAAAATATGTTCAGAATTACATTACGTCACAAATGTAATTTGAAGGAGAAAAAAAGATAATTATAAATCACAACATATTTGTAAATTTTCTTCTTACAAATCACACTATTCTAACTTGATAACAATATCCTTGTCAGAATTTATAGTTATCAAAACATGTAAAATTTTAGCTTGGGACTGTACAGCACAGGGCTAAAGGTGCTTCACTTGTCCATGAACACTGGTTCAAATGCCAGCACAGCATATAGTCCTATGAACATCACCAAAAATCATTTTTTTTAGAACAGAGCCAAGAATAAGCCCTCCGCACAGTCAGGTATGGCCCCCAAACAAATAGGAACACATTTAAAAATAAATGTTTGGTTTAATTTCTTTCCTTTTCTTTGTCCTCCTCCTCTTTAGTTTGGCAGTGTTCAGGGCTAATACTCTAGGCTCTGTGCTGGAGTCATGAACAAACCTTGGCCTCTGCATTCAAAACATGTGCTCAGATCTTTGAGCTATGTCTCTGACCCCTCAATTTCTTAATTATATTAATACTACAATGAAAGAACAGTGCTAGTCAGAGAGACAGCAAAATACAGCTATAATTTTTTACAAAATTTATGCTCTGAAAATCTGGTATCAATATAGTATGAAAGCATTGATTATTTTCACTTAATTTACAATTTTACTTAGGGATGAATTTATCATTAGAGAAAAAAATCACACATAAAGTATAAAATCACATATCATCAATATCTGGGTAATTACTAAATAAGCCAGTATTTGATAAACTGACTATTGAAGAAATTTTAATCATGTTGGTGATCTTTATACTAGATACAGCAGAAGACAGCAGAATTCAACACCAAAGACTAAATATACTAAAATATATTTTTAATGCAGCTTATATATGGTATTCCTGTCATTCCCTAGAAACTGAAAGAAATTTTATAGTTATAAATTATTCTACTATCATCCCTTGGTATCTAGGAGAAATAGTTTCCAGATGACCTCCACTGGCAACAGCAAAATTCCTGCTCACGTCCCTCATTTGTATTTGCATGTAACCCATATATATCATCTACTTTAAATCATCTCTAGATTACTTAAGATGCTGAATAGAATATAACCGCTAGGTTATGTAACTGCTATGTTACATAGTCTTCACATTGCATTTTTAGAAAATAATGGGTTAGGGAGGAGTCTTTATAGTTAGTATAGACACAACCAACATGGGCCTACGTATATAATAAGTATTTTTGATTTAAAGCTGGTTGAATCCTTGGTTGGAGAGAATTACCTGAATTTAACTTTAAGTATAATATAAAGATCTTAAGAATAATGCCAAGTACCATAAACATCATCACTATTTATATTAAAAATTATTTAAAAGAATTACTATAAATCTGTGTGCATGTGTGTTGTGTTTATATGTGTATGTGTGTGTGTGTGTGTGTGTGCACGCGCGCGCACAGGAAACACTCCTAGTAGCGTTCAGGGGACCATCTGTGTGTCAGGCATTGAACTAGGATCTGTCATGTGGTAATTTTTTAATTAAAAATTAGCTTTGAAGAGAATTATTTCTTTGTTGTGAGTTTCGCCCGCCCCTCTCGGAGAGCCTGGAAAGCTACCAAGAGCATCTTGCCCGCAAGGCAAAGCCTGGCAAGCTACCTGTGACGTATTCGATATGCCAAACACAGTAACAAGTCTCACAATGGAGATGTTACTGGGCCTGCTCGAGCAAACTGATGAACAACGGGAGGATAGTGCTACAGTGTGAGTTTCGTCAAATATTCCAACAAGGATAGTTTTCTCACTTTGCCAGAAAGGACAAATACATTTATAGACTTTGTTTTTTGTCTACTTAAAAAAAAAAAACAACCAAGAGTTTCTGTATATTTACTGTCTACTTAATTAGCTTCTTAATTAGTTTACTTAATTAGCTTCAGGAGAAAGACTATGTCAAAATTTGCATTTTTGGATTTAAGTTGACAGTTTCGTGGACTGATGCCCAACCTTGAAATTTTTTTCTATCTCAACTGCAAATAATCTTGAGCAAGCCAACCAATCAGAACAAAATTGTTAAGAATCTTCGGTCCAAGTGCATAAAAAGAAGACAGTATAGCCAGATGTTATCACTGCTGTTTGTCAGATGAACTAGGTATCTGTATAAAAGGCTTAGCAGCTATAAAATATTGTAAAATGACAAAAGCTACAACAAAGTCACTGTTGTTGACTATCAAAGGAATTATTTCAACTTCACGCCAATGACCAAAGCTTAAAAAAAAAATTCTGTGGTTTACAAAGCTTTAATAGTTTCTCATGCACATAATTCCAACACTACTCCCATGATCAATGTTCTTCTTCTCTCACAAGTATTTCAAGAACCCTAGCTTCCAAGATTAATTTGTTGCCTTTGGATCTTTGTTACTACCTTGCTGTGTTATCTCTAGTCCCACAGGAGAGCTCATTCTGTATCTATCCCTTACCTTCTGACTTCACTAAGCAACCTTTAGTACTATTCACATAACTGGAAACTGCACAATTTTTGTTCTTTTCAGAGCTACACAGTATGCCAATATGTTTATATACTACAACTTGATTCATTCGTCTATAGTTTGGCATCAGGGTTGTTTTCATATCTTCACTACTGTACTATTGCAGGATGAACATTATGTGTGCACATCTGGTCACTGTCCTCCCCTTGTTCATCGATTTGCTCGAGCGGGCCCAGTAACGTCTCCATCATGAGACTTGTTGTTACTGTGTTTGGCATATCGAGTACGTCATGGGGAGCTTGCCAGGCTCTGCCGTGCGGGCGAGATACTCTCGGTAGCTTGCCGGGCTCTCCGAGAGGGGCGGAGGAATCGAACTCGAGGGGTGGAGGAATCGAACTCGGGTCGGCCATGTTGGCTGCGTGCAAGGCAAACGCCCTACCGCTGTGCTATCACTCCAGCCCATGTGTGCACATATACTTTGGAATTAATGTTTCTGTGTTTTGGGAATAGATGCCAATAAATGGGATTGGTAACCCATGGCAGTTCTAGTCCTGATTTTTGGACAGATCTCCATATTGCTTTTTAAAAAGGCTAAACTAGCTAACATTCCTACCACCAATGGATCAGAGTTCCTTTCCTACCTCAACCCATCTACACTGAACATCTAAGACTTTTTCTGACATATGCCATACTCACCATGATCTATCTCATTATTGTTTTGATTTACATTTCCCTAATCATGAGTGACAAGGAGTACTTTTTCATATACCTGCTGGCTATCCGTATGTCTGTTCATCTCCTCCCATTTATGGATAGGATCACTGGATTTTTGGTTGTTGAATTTTGAGAATGTTTTATAGATCTTCAATGTAAACCCTTTATCTGGTGTACTGTGTAAAAATATTTTCTTCCATTCTTCATTCAGTAGCTATCTTTTTATAAAGCTTGAGTTTCTTTTACTGCACAAAAGCTTTTTAATTTTATGCAGTTCCATCTGTTTTTGTTTTGCTGTCTTCGCCACTGTGGTCACCTCATTGAATATTCCACTGTGGTCAATTTCTTGGAGAGTTCTACTAACGTATTTTATGAATTCTAATCTATAACCTACTTTGAGTTTCCTTTTGATAAGTGTGAGGTATGACCTAACTTCATTTTTTATGTGTAGATCTCGTTTTTTTCCCCAACATCATTTGCTGAACAGGTTTTCTTTGCTTTACTTCATATATTTAGCACCTTTGCCATAGATTAGTTCACCAAAAATCTGGGGATTTAACCTAGGACTCTCATTTCTGTTCCATTGGTTTGCAGGTCTATCTTAATCGGTAACATGCCGTTTTGATAATAGCTTTGTAATGTAATTCAAAATTGGGAAATGCAATGGCCTCCTGTTCTTTTCTTGTGCTTTAACGATTGAGTTTACAGTTCCCTACAAATTTAAGTAGGTGTTGTTCATGTCTTTGGAAAAAAAAAAAAGGCACTGGAATTTTAATGAGTATTGCATTAAATTTGTATAAACTTTGGGTATGGTGGTCATTTTAAGAATGTTGATTCTTCCAATCCATGAACAGGGAATATCTTTTCCACTTTCTAGTTTCTTCTATTTCTCTTAGCAATGATTCGCCATTTTCACTGCGTTGTCTTTTACTTTCCTTGTTGATACCTAGGAATTTGATGTTTTTGATCACAAATTTTAAGAGGAGTCTTCTTTTGCTCCCAGATCTTTGTGTACAGGAATGTCACTGATTTTGGTACATTAATGTTGTAATCTACTATATTGATCATTTTGAGGAGTTCTCTGTGGAGTCTCTGTGATTTTCATTATGTAGCATTATTTCATCTGAAATTAGTGATAAATTTGACTTCTTCATTTTCAATTTGGATCCCTTTAATATCTTTGAATGCTGTGGCAAGGACTTTCAAAACTATGCTGAATAAAAATGGTGCCTGATCTCATGAAAAAGGCTTTCAGTTTTTCACCATTATGATACTGAGTGTGGGTTTGCTGTAAATTGCTATTATTATCTTGAGATATATTCCTTCTATTCCTATTTTTGGGAAGGTTTGTTTATTTTCATTCTCAATTGTCTCAAGGAATCTTTTGGTTTCTTTTATGACTTAACTCTTTGGTGCAACTATTATTTAACATGTTGTCTTGGTTTCCAGGGAGTATGTTTGCCACTTTCCTTTTCACAGCTGATTCTTTCTTTTGTGGCTTTGTGGCCTGAGAAGATACTTGGTATGGCTTCTATTTTTGTGATTTTATGGATATGTGGGTTGTGCTCCAGCATGTGATCTAACCTGGAACGTCCCATGTGCTGTGGAGAAAAATACTCACTTTTTGGAGAGGTGGAGGGTCCTAAATATGCGTCTTAGATCCAGTTCTTCCAGTTTCTCATTTAGGGCTCCTTGTTTAATTGCACTTTTGCTTGGTTCATCTGGCCAATTATGACTGGGGTATTGAAGTCTTACACACTTCTACTTTGCTATCATCAATGTAATTTCTAAAGTCTATTAACAACTGCTTTAGAAACTTTGCTACCTCTTCATTTGGTGCACATATGTTGATGATGAGAGTTAAGTCCTCATGGTCTACTGATCCCTTGATCATGATGTGATGTCCTTCTCTAACATTTTCTTTAGTTTGACTGCTATTTATTCTGAAACCACTATGGCTTTCTCTGCTTTTCCTAACACCTGCCATGAGTCTGTGCAGCTGTCTTCCAACCACTGACTTCAAGCCTTTGTTTATTATAGGACTTTAAATGTTTCTCCTGTAGCATCAAAGGGTTAGGTTTTGTTTCTGGAACCAGTCTGCTATTGTATTGTTCTATGGCAGAGTTCGGTTTAGTAACATTTAGGGAAATTGATACGAAGGTATATATTGCCATGTTTACATATGGTATTTATTTGTTCTATGCAATATCATTTCATCTGTTGCATTTCGTATCACTTCAGTATCCATGTCAGGGCTGAATTAGGGTTCAAATATGTCACCACCACTGTTTGAGAAATGTTTTTATCCCTTTAAAAATGAGTTTGCTGGTTTGAAGATTCTTGGTTGGAAGTCCTTTTTATTCTATACTTTGTATACGTTGTTCCATACGTTTCATGCTTATAATGCTTTGCTAGATAAATCTGTGATAAATCTGATGTGCTATTCCTTGTGAGGTTTTGTTTCTGTCTTGCAGCCGTAACAGTTTGTCTTTGGTTCTTGCCATTTTAATTCTAAAATGTCTTGGTATCGTTGTGTCTGGGTTTACTCTGGTTGGCATTCTCTGAGCCTCCTGTATCTGTGCTCCCATCCTGCTCTACAGATTGAGGAAATCCTCAACAATTATCTCTAGTCTTTTCCTTTTCCTCTTTCTTCTACTCTTGGGATTCCTATAATTCTGAAATTATTTCTCTTGGCAGTTAATAATTTCCCTTATGTTCTCTTCATTTTTTAAAAATTCTCTTTACCATTTTCTCTTTGGTTCATTTGTTTATTGGCATCTTTGGGAATACTTACTCAATTTTTGGCTTTAACCATATGGCCTCTAAGGTTTCCTACTGTACTATTAAGTTATTAATTCTCTTGGGACAAGATCTTTGTTTCAACAAACTCTCTTCAAGTTGATTCATTTCAACATTGCTTTCAAATCACTGAGCATTGCTATGATTATTGTCCTAAAGGCTTCTTCAGGCAAACTACAGAGGTCTGATGGCACTGGTGATTCATCTAGTTTTGTTGTTTTATGTTGGTATTTCCCCTGAGCCCTGCCAGGAGTGATGCCTGAGTGCAAAGTCAGGAGTAAGCCCTGAGCACCACAGGGTATGGTCCCAAACAAAACGAACAAAAACCAGTAGCTATCCCTCTACCAAATGTTAATTTTTTAAAAAATTCATTGGAAATATTGCATTCAGATAATTATATACCAACAATTTTAACATGAAGTATAAGACACACTGTTTCCAAAGGGATGTGTTCCTAAAGTCTTCAGCAGAACAAAGTGAATTTACTGTCTTGCTCTTCACTGTTTCTACTACCCATTCCATTGTCTCAGTAAGACCAATGCCACTGGCTGCTGATGTTCTGAATATTTGTCATTTTGAGTCCTTCTCAAAGCAAGCAATTGAAGTGACTCTGCCAGCTTTAAGGAAATCATGGCCTATCTGTAAACACCACTATCAATGGCAAAAAGCCATTTCTTTTAAAATAGCTAGAAAGTCTTCTCCCTCAGTGATAATAAGTGGTTTTATTGGCTATAATCTAAAAAAAAAAAAGTCTTAATACATAACAGATTCAGGAGAAAAAGAGAAAAAAAACCAATTTTTTTGTGAACTGATAAAGAAAAATGACAGGGAAAAATAGGTAGAAGGTAAGAACTTGTATAAAATTTCTAGAGTAAAAAAAGATGAGTAATCTTTATATAGCCAAATAGCCAGGTTATCAGAAACATCACTAATTAACTAGTACCTTGCTTTCCAATGTAATCTCTTTAACTGCTTCGGTGATTCCTGTAACACCTGTTTAAAATTCAACAGAGAATAACTAAAATTAAGTTATGAAAAGCCCTCATTTATTGATTCAAGCAATATAAAACACAATTTTCTAAATTCTCACCATTTTCCTGAAATGAGAAATCAACGTTAGCAGCTGTTTTTTCTAATTTATAGTAGGAATAATATCAAAAATGCTTCTCAAAGCAGACAAAAAAATTTCAAGTCAAACATTCCAATTAATATAAATTAACACTTTAAAAACACATGAATTAACCTACTCTTAGTCATTTCTTTCATGTGTAAGTATCTAATTATAGTCTTAGAAAATGGATATACTAAATGATAATAGGACTTATTTACATTTAAACCTGCATCAAATAGCATATATTCATGTTATTTATTTCAGAAATAAGTCACACGAAGCTAGTAACAGCATAGCACATTTACATGGGACTATTTTACTATTTCCATATCTTATTTAATCTGCAATTCTATATCATGAGATAATTTTCCAATAGCACAGACAGCAGGGCATTTGCCTTGCACGCGGGTTCGATTCCCAGCTTCCCATATGGTCTCCCAAGCACTGTCAGGGGCAATTCCTAAGTGCAAAGCCAGGAGTAACCAGAGTATCACTGGTGTGACAAAAAAAGCAAAAAATAAATAAATAAATAAATAAAAATTCCACATGTGCTGACATGGCCCAATACTGTGTCCATAGTAACAACTCTAAAACTATTTTGCTCAATGAAGGTCGCATTAGCAGATGGCAGCACTGCTCTGATAAATGTTTAATTTAAAATACCTGAACCAAAGCAACAGTGCAACAGGTAGAGTATTTGCCTTGCATGTAGCCAAACCAGATTAAATCCCTGGCACCACATCAAATAATTCACCCAAGCCCCGCCAGGGATGATTTTGAGCACAGAGCCAGGAGTAAACCTGAGTACTGCTGAATGTGGCCAAAAGAATAATGAAAAAAAAAGTTACAATAACTGTGTTCTTAATGAGACTGTTCAACAATAACACAAAATGCTCAATAAATAAATCCTAAGTGCAAATATGCAAATTATCTGCCCTTTGTTAATCAGCTTCTTCTACTGGCAGTGCTCAGATATAACTGATAAACTATAATGCATAGGAAATGCTAGAATTAAATAGTTCAAACTGTTAATGTGCTTTTTGAGAAATCTTGCTCTACTATCACTTTGTAGGACTTAAAGATAGAGAAAACTTTTTAATATCCTGAATTTTAACTTAGAAAAGAAGCCAGAGAGTTAATACAGGGATTGAGGTGCATGCCTTGCATGGCCAACCTGGATTAGATAACCAGAACTACATCCTTGGGCCCCAGCATTGAATACCAGCCAACTAGGAGTGTTCAGTGGTTGGTTATGTTCATTATCTAAACCTGAGTACTGCTTGGGAGGCAAATATATATATATATATATATATATATATATATATATATTTTCTATAAATATATATGAACACATATATTTCAACACATATATTTGAACACATATATTTAAGAGAAATTCTAAATCTATCTGTTTGCACACAAAAGATTTTTTTTCATCAGAATTAAATCGAGGGCCGTAAGATAGTACAAGGTTTAAGAAACTTGCCATACTATGCATTAGATCAGCAGTTAGATCACAGGTATGGCATGGTCCCCTCCACAAATAGCCTCAGAGATGATCTTAGTGGACCCCACTACGCAGCAATGCCATGGTTTTACCATTGAACAAAACAATTTGGTTGGTCAAGCACTGTCTCCTGCTTGGAAGACCCCCCTCAAAAAGACAGCTGGCTAGAGAAACATAAAAAGTGTTTACAAAGTTACGCAATATAATGGCAAAATAAGTTTCAGGACTAAGAAAAATAATATTCAGAGTGGCAAATAACTTACACAGTTATGAAAGGACTGAGTCAATTCTTTAAAAAAATGTACTGAACAAATCAATTTCTCTATCAGATACTATGATAATGAAGATTTAACAATTAATTTCCTCTATGGATCCTACAGTCCTCTTAGTAGTCAGTCAACAATTCTTTTTTTTTTTCTTTGCTTTTTGAGTCACACCCAGTGATGCTCAGGGGTTACTCCTGGTTCTGCACTCAGAAATTACTCCTGGCGGTGTTAGTCAACAATTCTTAACTAGCTATAAATCTCAGAGCTGAATAAAAGAAATATGAGGATGGCATGATCCCTGTCCTAAAGCTCCTTATCCAGTCATGGAATGAAATGCAAATACAGAATCTTAAATCATAGTATAAAATATTGCATATTCTGTATTTATTTGGTTTTCTTTTTTCAGAAATGAAGAAAATACGGGTATTTTAAAATTTCCCCTGAAGTAACAGCAATATAAAATCCAAATGTCCAAGAATAACTTTTTTATCCAATTTATCTTCCTTTTTCCATCTTAAAAAAAAAAGTCTACTGGAATAAAACTGTGCCCTATGCATCCTCTTTTGCTACCAATTATGCCAATCTAGTCTCATACCTGTGTTATGATAAGTATCTACCCATCCCCCATCACCATCATCTTCTTCGATGATTGCTTCCAGTTCATCTGAATATTCCATCTGCTTGCACCTTTTATAACACGGCACTATTAAAAAAATGCAAATAGTTAATAGCATGTTTCCTGCTTCCTATAAATCCATTAGAAAAAAAGAGAAAGTCTATTTAATAAAATAGGGTATTTCTAGAAGCAAATTATTAAGTGAATACTGAATTTCACTTGAAATGGAATTAGTTTTAAGAAGTTCATTCAGCAAAAGTTATTTGATGATATTTTTCCTTTATCGGGGAATAAAGGCTCTTTTGGAGTTTATGTATGCCTTTCTCTGGTGATCTATGTAAGACTACAGGTTGAAGCAGAGAGGGCTTTTAATTTCTGGCTAATGAGTAAGTAATACCTAATTTTAATGGCTTGGCTTTCAGAACACTAGGGTGTTACGTCTTTTTCAGAGATGGAAGAGATAAACTCTGATTTGTAATGCTAAAATAACTACAATATAAATTCTCAATCAAGTTTTAACTATTCATAAGAGTTAAAGTACAAAATTCTCTTATCTTCTAAATTTTAATCTCAATATAGGCACAATACAATATAGGCATAGTACAAAATAGATGCCAGGTTTTTCATGTAGCAAATATGTCAATTAGCTGGCATTATGCATAAGAGCCAAAAAAAATTTAAAAGGTAACAATAATATGTTATAGGGTTGGGGCTGGTGCGATAGCACAATGGTAGCGCGTTTGCCTTGCACGTGGCCGACCCAGGTTCGATTTCCAGCACTTAATATGGTCCCAAGCACCAGCAGGGGTAATTCCAGAGTGCAGAGCCAGGAGTGACCCCTGTGCATTGCTGGGTATGACCCAAAAAAGAAAAAAAAAGTTACAGGATCAACAAACTGGTAATAATCTCCAGATTCTCTTAAATAAATATAAATATAAATTTTAATAAAAGTTTGTATGAAAGAATAAACGGTGCTTCACACAAATTTTTCCTTTCTTATAATGGGCGAAGTAGAACAGAACAGAAATCAAGCTATTATTTTGTGGCAAGAGAGAATAAAGTGAGGTTGTTTTCAAGTTAACTTCATAAATAAGATACTATCTCCTTCAAAAACTACTTTGTGCCCATTGAAAATCTTTCAATAACAATAAAATTTTTATCACTGAGCCTCTGTCCTAAGCAATATCAACTCACCTTCTATGTAAAATATTAAGTTTAAAGAATATTAAAATATCTTTAAAATAATTATGATTACAAACTCAATTTAGGAAAAAAAGTAAATGTGGATAGATGCTGAGAGCACTTAAAACCTATCATTAAAGCAGTCCCCAGCACTGAACGGTGCTCTTGAGTACAATGTCAGAAGCAATTCCAAGCTAAAACCTGAAGCAGTTCGGGTTACCACTAAGAGTGTCTCCACTGAAACAAATGTTAAATTAAAATAAGTCCAACATTACTTAAAATCTCTCTTTCACTTCAGATCTTAAAACAAGACCAGTTTGAGAAAATGGAATTTAAAAGATATAAAAATCAAATAAAGAGAAAAATAGCCTAACAATAAAAAACTCAGAGTTTCATTAAATTTCCTAATTTCTTCTAAAAAGCAATAAATACAACTTTAATGATAAATTAAGATGAGTAAGGTAAAAGGTTATTTTTAAAAATGATATTTCAGTGCAAAATTTACTAATACATCTTATACATTATTCTTACCATTTTTGGTGACCAAAAATTGTTTGCCTGATGGTAGGTATGCTTTCACTTTCAGTTCTTCCCCTGTAGCCCTTTAAAGTAAGTGGAAAGCAGCAAAACATAAATAATATTTTAAAAGGCAAAGATAAGATAGTACCATGTATCAATTCCAAAGCTATATAATCTATAACCCTTGTTTTAAAATTCATTTGAGAAGAATGCCATAAGTGATATACATCAAGGAACGAAAGATGGTAACAAACTTAAATAAAACATACTAAGACTATATAAACTGCCATTATATATCTATATCCTCTACATATACTAGAGAAATCCCCATTACCCTGGAGTGATGGGGCTGGTGTGGGATGCAGGGGAAACTAAGACAAAGATGGAGAAATCAGGCACTATACTTTTAACTATAAAACTGCAAATCACAGTGGGCAAACTAAATAAAAGCAACATACACACACACACACACACACACACACACACACACACACACAGAGGCATGCACGTACACACCACTCCCCCACCAAAAAATGAAGAAATAAAAGGAATAAAAAAAAATCAAATGAGGAATGTGATGCTTCTCATCTTTAGTTTTCTTAGAATTGTTTTGACTATTCAGGTAAAGATACACAGCAAGGTAGCAACAAAACGAGAGAAGTGATTCACACAATTGACTGGCTAGGGCAGGGGGGCGGGGGCGGGTTGAGAGTAATCTTGGGGTCTTTGGGAGAGGGAGGTGTCATGGGGTTCTTGGGAAAGGGTGGGGGTACACTGATGATAGGTGTTATGTTTTAATTACGTGCATGAGAAACCATTATTAATAGCATGGTGAACCACAGAATATCAGTTTTTAAAGAGAGCCAGACCTAAGGGAAAGAGTTTGGTAAAATAGTAAATAAAAGGGATATCATTTAGTAACTGCATTTGTCTCTAAACAAAAAGAAAGAGATGATCCTTAATAAGTATAATCTTACACAGATTTTCAATCCCAAAGTATTGCTCAACTGGAGACAGGCCAAAAAAAAAAAAATAGCTATACACCATTACATAACAAAGTAGGTTGGCAAGATCTCTATTCCTAGCAACCTATTAAAATAGGAACTAAGAAATAAAAGATGCTTTGAATCACATGATGATTATGTTGAGAATGATAGAAACACATTTAAAAAACTTTCAGAGAGTTTTTATTACAGTACTTGACTCTTTTTATTTAATTTTTTTATCTTAAATTTAAAATATCGATATAACCATTTTATAAATAAGCGTAAAGAAATGCTGTCACAAAATTCTAAAATGTAAAATAAAATAAAGGGAAAAAAAAAATTCTAAAATGAAGATCCAGGAACAAGCCCAGTGAATTCAGAGTTTCTATTCTTTAATGCTACTCACTCTGACAACTACCTATAACATTTCTGATTACCATTAAATTTTGTTAAGGGTTTTGCATGGCTCACCTACTACATTTTTCTCGGGCTGGGAAGTTATGTAGTGTCTGTCACAAACATATCAGCATAAAGCAAGCATACTGGAAAAAATGCTAAATGTCTTATCTCTTACAAAATAAATTATGCATCAATTACAGGCTAGATACAAGCTAAATAAAGTTTCACCAATTCAGGGAAGAGGGACCTATAGTTAACCACCCTTTAACAGATTAGATTCTATAATAGGAAGTCAATTTCAAATACAACACTGAACACATGTAGGAAAGACAAGGATATAAAAAATAAACGAATTGACTTTTTTTTAACCTATATTGGCACATAAAAAATATTCTTTAAGAATCTGAGTGATTGATAAAAATTAGCAGCAACTATTTGATATGTGCTACACAAAAAACTAAATGGAATAAAAATGCCAAGAACGACCATCTCTGGTTTAAAATAGTTACCTTAATTAGTAAGAAAAAATTAACAATTAGAGCCTTCTAAACTCTAGGAAATATACTCCCTTTCAAAAACTCACTTTTCAATTGCAACTGAAAAATGTCATGGGGTGGTGGGTGAGGAGGAATATAAAAAGCTAAGCCACTTATACTCAAATAAGATAACAATCACAAACCAAGTCTAATGAAAAGAGTCTGCCAAAACTGTATTCACCTTTTCAACTACTGACAGATGATTTTACATTAAGTACTTGACAGTAATTAAACTGAGTTTGCCACTAAAGCAGTCTGTAAATAAACAAATTAATCTAATGTATTAAACTCTTGAAATTATTTCTTCAATATACACAAGATCAGACACTATCAAAAATGAAATATTAATATAGCAATAATAATATAAAAATATCCATCTTTGCCCAAATTTTTATTCCTTTAGTTTAGCTCTTAAAAGAAAAATATACTAGAAAAGAACTAAACTGGTCATTCTGATTTTAATGCATTAACCTAATTTCAAACGGTTAAAATTATGACATCAAACCCTTTACTAATCTTTTTATTCTTCAACCAAGATTACTTACCATTGCCATGTTGGACAGTGATGGACTAAGTGATCTCCAGCTGCAACAAACTATAATTTAGAAGGAATGTTTAAAAAAAAAAAAAAAGAAAAAATTGAGTATCACTGAAAGTGGCAATAGCAAAATAATCATCCTGTACAACCTATTTATCTGCAAACCAATGCAAAAACTACCAAACTACTCCACCAGTCTCAAAATTGTTTTTATAGTTAAAACTGCAAAATTTTTAACTTAGACAAAATTCTAATCTTGGAAGTCAAAAATAGGTTATTTATTTTACTTCAATTGTTAAGCATTTATGGAATAAACACCAAAAACATACAGTATAACATATAAAGAAAGCGCTGCAGAATATGCTATAACATATAATGTATAACATATAATGTAAAATATGTATAACATATAATGTAAAATATAGAAATTCTTGATATGGCTGAAAATTCAATAAAATTATTTTTTAACTATCTTACTAAATAGAGCGTTACTAAATAGATCCAGGTCTATGACATGAAAATAGTTTATTACATCACAGTACAGTTCTTCCTTACTTTTTAAACTTAGGTAAGTGCAATTCTGAAATCTTTTTCACAATCTTACAATTAAAGGAAATCATTAACAACATTAAGAACTGAAGTTTAGGACAACAATGAGTGGAGAATTAAAATTTTTTATTAGACTCAAAACATTTTAATACACTAAAAACCAAAATAATAATTCAATAAATTTTCTAAGAAACCTCAAACTTTCTGAGCAAGATGAACACTGTACACTGTTCTTATAAAAACTAAAAGGTAAAGTTTTCATTGTGTTAGAATATGAACTGATTTTACTAAAAGACACAAATCCTACTTGAGTACAAAGGGAAAGTATTAAACATACTTAGTGTCCCCAAGTTCAACAAAATATGGACATAATATATAAATTAATTCAATTTTATAAGTTTTTTTTATCTCGTTTTTGTTTTGGGGTCATACTCATCAGTGCTCATGGCTTACTCCAGGTTTTGCGCTCAGGGATCAATTCTGAAAGGGCTTGAGTGACCATATACTAGGGAGGGCACCTGGGTTGGCCACATGCAAGGCAAGTGCCCTATCCTCCATACTATCTCCCCAGCTTCTATTTCACAATAATTTTAATTTAATTTACTGTTACTCATGGGATTATCAATTTAGGGTATCTGTAATCATCTACTTTCTGGGAGAGTTGTCTTTATAACACTATTTGGGGAGAAAAATTCTCTAAAGTATGAGTGCTGACTGTTAATTTGCATGTCTCTATTTTATTTCAAGGAATCTGTTTTTATACTGGTTAGAGACAAATGCAAATGAAAACAGTATTCTCACCCTCCAGTTTTAAATATTCTGAATTGCTACAATCAAATGCTACATTTAACCTAAATTTCTACATGGGTTAAATGTAGCATTTGATTGCTAAATTTAGTTTTACCAGAAATTAATCATAACCAAGAGTGTTAACTTAACAAAAATCAAGCAAAACAAAAAACTTAAAAATGGAAATAGGGGAGGATAGATAGAACAGTGTATAATGTGCTTGCGTTGCAGGAAGCTGACCAGATTCAGTTCATGACACAGGGTACCCTAGCCCTTGCAGGAGCAATCCCTGAGCTCAGAGTCAGAGCCAGCAGTGATTCATAAGCACAGCTGAGAGTATAACCCAAGAGCCAAAAAAAAAAAAGAAAAGAAAACTTAACTACAAAACTATTATTTATTGCATAGCATCTCTGGTGACAGTATTACAAAAATTTAAACTAAAAAAAACACACTTGCATGAATAATTAGTACATGTGCATATCTGCCACTATTAGCAGAAGCAGTTATTACATGTTATATATATATGCAAGTAAAATAAAAATGTAGGACAAATTTCTATAAATGCATTTTTGCTTGTAGTAGCATTCTGTTTATCTATGTAAAAATTACGTAACACTGATTAAATCCAACAAGTTAGAATAATTGTAACATTTCAGTGAGTGTTACCAGTATCATCAGTAAGGTCATACAAATACTATCACGGTCACGGTCCTCCCATTGTTCATTGATTTGCTCAAGCAGGCCCAGTAAATCTCCACTGTGAGACTTGTTGCTGTGTCTAGCATATCGAATACGTCAAGGGGAGCTTGCCAGGCTTTACCGTGCGGGCGAGATACTCTCGGTAGCTTGCTGGGCTCTCCGAAGGGGGCGGACGAATAGAACTCGGGTCGTGGCCATGTTCGCTGTGGGCAAGGCAAACGCCCTACCCGCTGTGCTATGGCTAAACGTTCAAGCATTTTAACTAACACAATACTGTGTTAGATAATTCTCTTCCCCTTTCAGAAACAGAGTACTTCCATGTAGGATAACACTGTTTTGTCCTTCCTCAGGTAGCTTAGGTTTATCGGGTCACACCCATCCCAGTGCTCCTGAGTCACTCCCATTCTTTTTTTTATTTATAATACTTCCCTATGCTCTCCTCCCCAAACAGTTAATCAGTTTATTCCCCTAATCAGTTTCTGTTAATTTGTAAGGCCAGATCTTTCTAGGACACTGAACTTGTATTGTAAGTTAATATTGCCTTTCTCCCCTCCCTTGTCTTTTGAATAGTTTAAAGCAATGTCCTTTTGTATAGACACAGGAAGCCAATTAATCTTCCACACCGTTCATGAAAAGCAGGAAAACAGCTGAGGGCTGACAGTCAAAGCCCAGAAACATGAAATAAACAAACGATGAACCTAGAATCTATCCAAAGCAAATTATGTCTTCTCATTTCCCTCCTCTAAATTCATTCTTCTCTAACTCAATCCTCTAATTGTCTCTATCACAATCAGAACTATGTGGTCAGTATTCAGCCAAACAAATTTTGCCTTGCATTTTTTTTTATAAAAGGAGATTCATAAACCACTTAATGATACAGTCAAGTGCAAGTAATGGTTATTCGAATAAATCTGTAGGTACTTTGAAAACTTAATTCTATTCAGTGGCCAGACTTAATTCCATTCAGTTCTCCCATTTGAACTACCCATTTAGCAATTAATCATCTACACATCTTGCACTCTGACAAGAATACATATTTTCATCTCTGGCCTCCATTTTAGATACTTCAGTTCAAGAGCCTTATCTAAATTATATCATTATTCAACAAGACAACAAATCATATCCTTAAGATTAAAGCATAATTTTATTTGGAATTCAAGGTATTAAAACAGTGAGGAAGAAAGGCATCTTTTAGGGCAGAGTATTTCAATTGGGGGGGGGGGATTAGTGGGGGGATGATAAGACTCACTGGAGGTCCCCAGAATATCCCAAAGGAACCACAGATTTTAAAATGCATTGAAATGGAGTTTCATGGCAAAAAAAATGAATGGGCCAATGGACAGAACAGGAGGACCACAGGATGGAAACAAGGTCAGAAGCAGGTAGCAGTTAGAAAAAGACTGAGAAGTGTAGGATAACACTGGTGTGTCCTCTCTGCTTTGCCACAGGGAGCTTAGGTTTACTGGGTTACTCCCATCACAGTGTTCCCATTCCTCTGTGTTCATTTGTAACCTCTTTCTTTGTGCTCTGCTTCCCCAACTGGTGAATCCCCTTTATCTCCTAATCAGACTTTGTTATCTTGTAAATACTGCTTTTCTCTTCTCCTTAAGTCCTTTGCATAGTTAATTCAGAGCAATGTCCTTTTTGCATAGACACAAGACAGTTATGGCTATGCTTTTGTAACCTGGGAGTTAACTGACTCCTGGACATCTGTTCTCTCCACTTAAGTCTCAGTTGCCCTTACTTCCTAGCAACCCAAAAGCAGGGTCCCTCTGAGGGACTGGATGGACTCAGGGCAAGCTGTGAGCTTCCCTGGCATCGAAATGGGCCTGGCCAAAGCGCCATAGTACTTATAACTATAAGTTAAGAGCATGCTCATGGACAAATTCTGTTGTGATTCAAAAATAAGAACTAAAGTAGGACCCTGCTAGGGTTAGGAAAGATTATTCTGGCCTGAGCACAGTAGTCTGAGATCTAACACAAGATGTTCCCAGAGAGCCACCCTTACAAGCTTAATGTTTCTCTTACTGTGTCCATACAAAATAATGGATATTAAGAAGCATAATTAAGATGTTAATGGAAACAAGGTCATAAGCAGGTGGCAGTCAGAAAAAGGCTGAGAAGTACTGATTTGGGAAATTTTGAATTAAAGTCACTCATTTAAATGACTTGCCTGACTCAGGATAAGAGATTTTAGAGAAATGGGAAAGTCTTAGGTTCTTCTTAGGAGAAATATTCAAAAGGCAGAACATTCTTAGAGCTATCCTAATATAGGACTGGCAAAATTTTATTTTATATATATATTGTATGATAGCACAGCGGGTATGGTATTTGCGTTGCACGTGGCCGACCCTGGGTTCGATTCCTCCATCCCTCTTGGAGAGCCCGGCAAGCTACTGAGAGTATCCCTAGAGATGCCAAAAACAATAACAAGTCACAATTTGTTGTGAGACGTTACTGGTGCCCGCAGGTGCAAATCTATGAACGAAGGGTGGACAGTGACAGTGACAAGTGACCATATCCAATGGTGCTCAGGAGTTACCCTTGGAGAAGCTGAGCGGATCATTTGTGGTGCTTGGGATTCTAATCATGGTCACAGCGGATACCACTAAATGTGAAGCAAAGGCCTTATCTCCTGTACTACCTCTGTGCTCCCTAGTGAAATACTATCACAACTGAAAACTGAAGAGTTCAATTAATTCCCTGGCTGTGGTCTTGGAATTTATAGCAGCAGTCAGATCATAAAACATGGCTCATTTGAAAATCCAATTATACAGCATAACTTGTTCCAAAATGTATCTTTCAAAACAATAAAGTGCTAATGTCAAAGAGTAGAAATTCTAATGAATTAACGGTCAAGTTTAATTTCTATTGCTGATTATTTACCAAAAATAAGTAGGAAACTAAAACTATTTATAAACCCAGAATTTAATAGGCCTTTTAGAACAGAATTATTTAACAAAAACAAACGACGTAGGGAAAAATCTTTTTATTAAAGATTAAGTGGGAAATGAGTCTTCAAACATAATTTTACATTAAAAAGTTCAATTAAAGGGAATGGAGAGTGTGAAGTGGGCAGTGTGCTTCCCTTGCAGACAGCCAACCCAGCTTTAATCCTTGGCACCCCATATGGTCTCCTGAGCCCCACCTGGAGTGATCCTTTAGTGCAGAGCCAGAAGAAGCCCTCGGTACCACTAGGTATGGCCCAAAAAACCAAATATCAAAGTCCAAAGAAAAACAAATGCCTATAAAATAGCAATCAGTTTCAGAATTAAGTAAAATCAAGAATACTTGGTCAATAGAAAAAGAATTAAAGGATGGTCAGAAATAAACTATTAAGTATATAGCTAAAAATATCTAAGAGACCAAGGATGTAACTAAGTAGTTAAAAAAATAATTTTATCTATTAAGAAATCTTGGGTTCAATCGCTGTCCCCTCCCACCCCCCCAAATAAAACGACAAAAACCAAGCTGAATACTAAGCAAGCTTAATATCCAAGCAGTGAACAAGTTTGGACTGTGGAAAGCCATAATCTCATGTTTAGTATAAACAGATTCACAAAACACCACAGAGCCCATTGCATAGCTCAATATGATGCAAATATGAGCTAAGAATAAGTGGCCATTGGAATTTTTTCCATTTGCAATCAAACCCTCATTGCTAAATTAAGAGGAACTACAGAAAAATAGGAGAAGTGGAAAATATAGAGGGAAGTTACCTTCTTCAAGGAGAGGTAAAATTCCAACAATGTAACTTACAGAGATAATACAATCTCTTTACCTAAATAATGATCAAAATTCAAGATATTTTTAGAATATCTTCAACACTCACCTCTTCTGGGGTGATAACACCTGTTTCCTTAAACTTTGACTCCTAAAAAATCAGAAAGAATACTAACATTATACTTTCACTTTCAAATTTAACATGCTTGGGGGCACAATGACTTGCCAGGAACCCCTCTAAGAGATGATGGCATGCATACAAAAAATATGCATCAATCAAAATATCAAATATGTATCATTCAAAGTATGTATCATTCACTGGCAGCTGACCTTAAGAAATACAGAACTCTAACAGAGGAAACTGACACAAACACGGTTACAGTACAATTTGAGCAAGAACAGATCTTTGGAAAAACACTCAAAATTTACATATAGCCTTACAAATAGTTTTGTGGGCACTGGAGCAATAGTACAGTGAACAGGGAAGTGAATAGGGCATCTGCCTTGCACACAGGCAAGTAATTCCTGAGCTCAGAGACAGGAGTAATCCCTGAATATCAAGATGAGGCCCAAAAATCAAACACACGAAACTAAAAAAAAATAAAAAACTCAAAACCAAATTATTTTGTGAAATCAAATATCTTTACAAAACAGTAAAAAGATGCTAAGAACTCTTAAAATTCCACCATCATTTCATTTATAGTAATATTAAAAACAAGAAACCATAAATTTAGTACTTCCCAATTATTCTCATCTCCAGCACACTATTATCACAACATTCTTTTTCAAAAGGACATAATTTACTATTTTTTTTTGGTATTTTAGGTTATATGTAAGATTTTGTAGCACTCTATAAAAATGAAAATATTAATTCATACAATTACCATTTGCTACCCAAAACATTTGCCTGCTACCAGCTGAAGCAATGGGAACACAGGCATAAATAAAATAAACCAAACTCCTTCTTGTCTTAAGGAATTTAAACCCCAGGGGAGGGAGAAAAGTCATGCAACAATAAATACCGTGAAGAAAAATAAAGCAGAGAAGAGGTGGGGCATGGAAGGATAGGTATCTATGAAAGCAGGCTATTATATAAGAGAACACAATTCACTAAGAAGTGACTGAAGAAGAGACTGGGAGAAAACCAGTTCAGACAGAGGCTGAGAGCAAATGCAAAATCCCTAGGCAAAAGGAGGCAAGCTGGGTCTGGGGGGGAAACGGGTAGTCTCATGTAAGGAAACGTTGCACCGATGCTGGGATTGGTGTTGGAACACTGCATGCCTGAAGCAACACTATTATGTACAACTTTTCAAATCACAGAGACTTAATAGAAAAAAATTAAAAATAGGTTAAGTAAAATGGAAAAAAAAAATTCCACAGGCAAGTGTGTACAAAACATAATTCATGATAGCTTAAGGGGAAGTGAGAAAAGGAGAAAATAGTTCTAAATGAAATCAGAAGTTTCTACTCTCACCTACTAGGGCTTGAAGTTCATTCTAGAATTTTAGCGTTTACACTGTTTAGGTCGTCCAAGTCATGTTTTTTCTTAATTATTGCTGGGAGAAGGAATTAATTTTATCCTAGGGACTTACGGTTCTTTTTTACCTTCTGATAGGTAGTAGGAAATTATAAGAATTCTTTTCAAGGAAAAAAAGTTCTCTGCAAATTAAATTTGCACTTGGAATGGGTCAAAGGGCCATTAATTCTGTACTTATTACTAAATATATACATCACTATACCAACAAGCTAATACTCCCCTTTGGATTCAGTAAATAGGAGTATTCCTCAAATCACAAATTCTGTGATATAAATTTAATAAAATACAACTATCCAATGAAATAGCTGTTTGAAATCTGCAAGTTACTTTTGTTCCTTGCTCCCTAAAACTAAATAGCTGTAACAATTATGTACCATATAAACGTTTTCTACCTAGGCACACAATACTTTAAAACATGACTTAAGCAAAAGAATCATCTGATTCAAGTGTCAAATTCATTTTCAATTTCAAAGTGTACTAAAGAAAAAAAAATCAAAATTTTACAGTTAACAAATGTAAGAAGAGCTGTCTCATTTATAGACATCTGGGTTTTGTTAGGGTCATTTAACAAGGTATTTGAGAAATCAGTCTTGGAAACGAGGACTTTTAAAAAAGACACGCAAGCCCACTATTCTCAGCATACCATAAAAACAAACTGAGTAGAGAACCAACCACTTTCAAAAGCATTTTATGCCCACACTAAAATTTAGTAAAAATCTAATTGCTTGGGGCGGACGGGGAACACTATTAACTTGGTATTCACTTACCCTCAATGCTTGCTCTTCACCGAGGAAACACAGTAACCATGGCAAAAAAAAGAAAACTTACTCTACAAGAGTAAGTTTCACGTGTAAAATAAAATGCAATTGAGAAATTTATCTCAATGTGCCAAAGCTGTCACATTTTTTTTACTTTAAAATGTTAGTTTTTTTATTTCACAGTGTCCTAATTTGAACTTTTAAAATACTGTTGTGTGTACATGTGTATGCATATAGAGAAAATGTATGTATAGAGAGAGAGAGAGAGATGGAGACAGAGAACAGAGAAGAGGGGAAAGACACGCGCGCTCCTTCTTCCTCACTCAAGTCCAAGATCCACAACTACTCCGGGGTCCTCCAACCCCTCGAGAGGCAGGTTTTGCCCGTCAGCCAGACCCGGGGGTGGGTTCTGACAGGCACACTGTCTGGGGTCTCCTCCGAAATCCTCCAAGCAAGGGCCTCGGGGGCAACTATTTCCAACTTTTTGATCCGTAGTAGGAAATGATAAGTAAGAATCAGACGATGAGGACTTCCGAAGGCAACGTGAACGAGAAGTGGCATCACAGGTCGCCGCTGATGGCCCGTTTCCAGAACCCAGCCGGGCCCCGTGTTCCGAGGGAGGCGGGCGAGGCGAGGGAGGACTCGGATCCGGTCCGGAAAGCCGCTCCCGAGCACCCGCACCCGCCCCGCGGCGCCGGCTCGAGGGTGGGGGAGGCACCCCCCGCGTCGCCTCCCAAAGCCCCGGGAGCGCTCCCCACCCCCTCCCCCCGCCCCCCGCCCCCCCCCCTTGCCCACACCTCGGTCCCGGCGGAGTGGAGCGAGCCGGCACCTGACAGCCCCGGGGCGCGTCCGGCCGCTTACCTTGAGGACCGGGGTCAGGTACTCGGCCACTTCCAGCGCCTTTCCCTTCACTGTGTTGATCACATTCTGCATCCTGGGGCCGGGACGGCGGCCGGCCCCGCCGCAGGGGGTGGGGTGGGGTGGGGAGGGAGGGGAGGGGGGAAGGGGCGCAGCCGGGACCCGACGGTGGGGTGGGGGGGGGTGGAGGGCCGGCAAGTCAAGAGTCGCTCCCCGGAGCCGCACCCGCGCCACGGAGCACCCGACGGGACGCGACGGCGCGGACGGGACGCGGGGGAGGGGAAGGGAGGGGACGGGACGGGACGGGAGGGGAGGCCGGCGGCGCGCGCGCGCGCGACCGGCCGGGCCCAGCTGTCACCTGGCCGCCGAGGAAGGCAGCCGCGGCGCGACGCGAGTTGGGTGGGGGTGGGGGTGGGTGGGAGAAGCGAGCGCGCGCGTGCCCCTCGCCTCCCCGTGAGCTGCCTTCCGCCCCCCCCCTCGCCGATTCCCCTGGCTTAACGTGCACCCCCTTCCGGCTTCCCCCTTCCTTCGCCCACTCTCTCGCCGTAGCGCCGCGACCACCTGGGCCTCACGTGACCCGGGCCTCTCCCGCCACGTGACGCGAGAAAGGCCGGCGGGGCGGGGCGGCACCGCCTCTCTCTCCTCCCTCCGGAAGCGGAAGACGGCGCGCGCCTGCGCAATGGGACCGAGCTCCGCTTTTTTTTTTTTTTTTTTTTTTTTGGTCTGTCACGTTACTGGGCTTTGGGTTCCGGAATTGGAGGCGCCACCGCAGAGGCTTTTCTCTCTTCCCCGCCCGCCGTGGGCTCCCCGCTTCTGGGCCCTAGCAGCGCTAAACAGTTCCTGTGTGTCCAGTCTTTAATATGTGCGCTCCGCCGCTAGACGCGCTTCTCCGGGACCGAGGTAACCGCGCCCAGCGGGCAGAGTTGCGCGTGCGCGTACGAGGGGTGGGCGCGCCGGATGGGAGCCGCACTGCGCATGTGCGCCGCGGGGGCTTTCCCAGATGCTGGAAGGGCACCCCCGGGGCAGGGAGCCTCCAGTGTGGGATTGCGCCCGCTAGGACACTGGGTGCTGGCTTTCCAAGCCCATTTTAACAGCACCTCCCAGCATCTTCCCTGCACTGGGACGATGATGGGGCTTTGGGCGATTTATCTACCCGGCCTGAGAGTTTAGTGTGCTCGGGGTTCCAGAACAGGGACATTGAGTCTATTGGCTTTCAGGGTCCTTCACATTTCCAACGGCGATTTATGAAAAGGCCTCGGTGGGGGTTCAGATAGTTTCATCTTGATCGTTCTTCAAAATTTCCCAGTTAGCTTTTCCTGTGGTGGGGGACTGCTAGGAGAAGAGAAATACAGATCAGAAATTATCTTCTGCATCACAGTTGCAGAGGACAAAGTGAAAAGATTTCTTCTAAGAATTCTGCAGTGCTAAATATCAGTGGTTCTTTTGTTGCTTTTGCCAGGACATAAAATCTGGCCCTGCCTCTTTTCAAAAAAAAAAAAAAATCCGTAGAGACCCGCCTCTTCAAATTTTGCCTCTCATTCCATTTAGCCATAGGCTGTCTTGTATTCGCCAACTGCCCAACAGCCGTAGTTTTGGGTTAGCCATAATCGAATTATATATGCATACTCTTTTTTTTTCTTTGCAAATCAGTGCTTTATCTATCTGCGTGGGTTGCTTACAAAAATCTTCTTTTTAAGGTAATTAAAAAAACCACGAAATGGAAAACAAGCACTGTGGCCATCCTCTGTCCTGCTCCAATTCAACCATGTATACATTGCTGTTAGGGATAATATTCATTGCTTTGAGCTCAAGTCGCATTCTTCTGGTAAAATACTCAGCCAATGAAGGTAAGTTGAGACTTGAAATATGTAGAGAGCTCTTTCATCTACTCACACATTATCTCTGTTGTCTTTGGCTTCATAAGAACAAAATGACGGTAATACTCTTTGAAGTTCTCTGTTTCATGTGCCTACTTAAATTGGATGCTATTTAAATTGTGCCAGTTAGTTGGATGCTTTAATACTCATTCCTTAGCAAGGGAAAAAAAAAATGTTGATGCTCTGAAATTTGAGTCAGTCAAGTACAAGGTTTGAGCCAAGCCTTTACCAGATTATTACAACCTTGACTGTTGCTTCAGTCAAGCAATGTTGACCGATATTGCTGAACCTGTAGCAATCTGTATAATTATAAGTTATTTTAAAATAAGTAGGAAGATGTATTTGATTACTGGGCAATTGCGATGTACTATTTTAACTACCATATTAATGGGATAGTAAGATTACCAGTTTAGGTAAATATGTGATAAAGGTATCTCTATTTAAACAGTAGACATCTGGGATCAGCATTTTTCTATCAGCTTTATAGGGAAACTTGCACTTGTTATTGAAGACATAAAGGCATGATATTGTGACCCTTAATATTTGATTGGAGATAGAGAGGTGTTTACGTCTCTAACTCGTTAAATATCTACTAGGCAATAGGCTAAGTATGAGTAGCAGGCTTAAAGGCCTTAACATGTTAAATTTCTTCTCAAGAACTCATAGTTTATTAGGAGATACATATAAGTACATCATTAAAATACAGGATTAGTACCAAAAATAGCTTAAAGTAAAAAGTGATTATATTCTGTCTAAAGGATGATGTGGAGCCAAAAGGGATTGAGGGGCATTTTCCCGTTAAGGTGACAATATATTCATAAGATAGGAAAGAATATTATTACTATGGAATCTTTATTTTAAAAGTACAGACATTGGGGCTGGAGAGATAGCACAGCGGGTAGTGCGTTTGCCTTGCACATGGCCGACCCGAGTTCGATTCCCAGCATCCCATATGGTCCCCTGAGCACCTCCAGGAGTAACTCCTGAGTGCAGAGCCAGGAGTAACCCCTGTGCATTGCCAGGTGTGACCCAAAAAATAAATACATTAAAAACATGGATGTTACATGAGATAATGTTTAAAGTTTTAGAGAAAGAAGGAATGTTTGGCCAGAGAGGAAAGTAACAATCACATCATTAAATATTTTATGTCATGCTATAGAGCTGGAGATTATTCTCTAGGTGCTAGACTCTGGGAGATAAGATACACTTATGGATTAGGAATAAGAGGGCAAAGTGAGGAAGAACTATTGTATTAAATGGATGAAGATGAAATATTGGATAGTTCAGAGGTTTCTGATTACAAGCACTGAATTGACTGATGAGCTTCTCAGTTGAAGTGGCAACAGTAGAAGGGAGGAGCATGTTGGTAAGAATTCGGAGTTACATAGTTTGAGCTGCGTTCAGGAGCTGTTTTTGCTCACTGCACATCAGACATGAAGGAAATGCTTATAGTTGTCTTAGTTAATGTTGCTGAATATGGACTTGAATGCTTTAGTATTAAATTGAAACTGTTAACCCTAAGAACAGAGAGACGTATGCAGAATGAGAAAATAAGAGCCAAACACAGAATTCCTATGTTACAGCATTCAGCTTTCATGTTGACACTAAGAGGGGCATTACAGAGATGAGAGAATTAAATTACATGACTCATAGGTAGGAGCAAGTTTGAAACTAAGAATTGCAATGTCATATTAATGATTAAAATATATCCTTTGAATCTGTAATCAGAAGGTACTGGATGATCTCAGAGATGTAATTTGAACACAGTGGGGATCAAAACCAGGTGGGGCCAAAAGCTGAATGTCAAGTGGGTAGAATGGAGACCACGAAGGCTGACACAGTATCAGGAAGAGAAGCGTACAGAAAGTCCAGGGTTCACCAGCAATTCAAGGCCAGCCATACCTTCGGACAGTCCAAGGGTCTGAGAATGAAAAGCCCTGCATACCCGGACCACTCAGGCAGTGGGAGGGCCTCTAGTGCCACACCCAGCAGTGTGGGAGCCTCCAGGACTCTCTACCCAGCAATGCTCCAGGGACCATGTAGTGCCACAAATCCAGCCTAGGTTGGATCCATGCTAGGCAAATACTCTGACTGCTGTGCTGGTGGCTCCTGGCCACTGATGGAGAAAGTTTAACTGGCAACTATTTAAATTCAGATGAGCATTTATTGAGTGCCTGCTTAGTGCAGAACACTCTTGATGTCCAGATATATGAAGCTGACTATTATGGTTCCTTAAAGCACTCATATTCTAAGGGTTAAATATACACATTTGAAATAATGGATATTTGTATTGCGTTGCTAGTATGTGAAAAATTTTGTTAGGTATATGGATATAATGCAGTTATCAGAGATGAAAAAGAATTGGCTATACTTACTTTGAGATGGTTAGGGGAAACCACGGCATAGAGGAAAAGGGTATTCTGGGTAGAAAGAATGACAAGTGAACATTTTCCTCTGCAATTGGCCAGTTTTTATATGAAATGTAATGATAAAGGGAAACAAGTCCATTTCAAATAGGAAGAAAGTGAATATTTTAAAACAAGACATGATGAAGTTGGTTTGTCCTTGCCAAATTATAGAGTAAGTTGTTTGTAATCATTTAGAAAAGACAGTTTACAACGTAGATCAAGGCGTGCTTGCCACACCTCATTTCTTAGTTCAATTAACCTGTAAGTTGGGACATAGCTTTTGAACTTGTCAATGGGTTTGGATGTGTCAGAGTTAGAATTTTCTTTATTCTTTAAGATAGAGCCAGAACCACGGACCAGTTGTCTGTTGCTTTTAACCCAATACATGGATGTTTACTGGAATGCTAAATATTTTCTGTGTATGCCATGCATGCCATGTGTGCCATAGTATGAAACAGATAAGATTACTTTAAGAAAACATCCCAGAAAAGAGTTTACTATGATTCGGCTGGAACAATAGTGCAGATGGTAAGGCATTTACCTTGCATACGGCCGATCCTGGTTCAAAACCTGGTTTCCCTGCATACCGCCAAGAGTGATTCCTGAGTGCAGAACCAGGAGTAACCCCTGAGCATCACTGGGTGTGACTTAAGACATACATATGTACGTACATACATACATACAATAAGTTTAATCTTGATTTTAGCAGGGCAAACAAGTCCCACAAGAAAAACTGTAGACTGGATATTAATTCATCTAGGGTAACTCGTCTAGGGTAATTCATCTAGGGTATGGGTATTTGTTGAATTGGGCTCTAAGTGCTAACAAATTTCAAAGGCAATTTCATGCCGTAACACAGAGCATTCTTTGCCCGTAGCCCTAACCTCCTCAGTGTCTACATATCAGCAACTTGGATAAAAACTTGAGGGGCATTTTATCGAATCAAGGATAGTAAAATGCTAAAACAATAAGAACTGCTGTAATACCAGATGAATTAATTAATAAACCCAAAAGAGCAAAGCCAACAGGATAACATTAAATATGTGTGTTAAAATATAGCTTCTAAGTTTTAAAATATCTGTAAGTTATTAACTGTGTGAGCATTATTTGGAATAAAATTAATCATTAAAAACCATTTCTGTTATGTTTCAGAAAACAAATATGATTATCTTCCAACTACTGTCAACGTGTGCTCAGAACTGGTAAAACTAGTTTTCTGTGTACTTGTGTCATTCTGGGTTATAAAGAGAGGTGAGTTGAAATGGTACTTGTTAATACTGATTGAGCCCCAACATTTAAATTTGGAAGGATCATTTTATATCATGTAGCCTAACCCATTAATTTAGATGTGGGAACACTAAGATGGCAGAATGATCATCATGGCTTGCTAGTGGAGAAATAGACTGACAAAGAAGGTATTCTCCAGGAGTGATCCCTGAGCACAGAGACAGGAGTAAAACTAAGTACTGCTCAGTGTGGCCAAAAAAACAATCAAAAAAGAAAATATTCCCCAGTGCTGGCAATGAGGATAGAGCCTGAACTCTTAATTCAAACTTCTGACATTCTGTCCATTACTCTTCCTCTTGCGGTGGGTAACACAGGCAGATAATTTTTATTCAGGTTCTAGATTTTCAAAATCACTGCTATTTGACTTGCTATGTAGTATGTTGCAAGAGCAGTTCCCATTTCGTACAGTTGAGTCAGCATAGTGTCTTCAGAGACAAACTCTATTCTGGGTCAGATTATTTTAATTTCTCCGAGTTCCAGTTTCATGATTTATCAAAAAAGGGATACTATTTCTTCCTCAAATATCTAGCTGTTTGTGACTCATAATTTTCCATCTCAGTTCCAACTTATACTGAGCCTTTGTGCCCTGTTAGAGTGTTAAAACACTCGCCCAGGACCAGGAAAATGATTTTTATAATTGAAGTGTTCAGCCTATGCTAAGATTCTAGTTAATGGAATACGCTTTTCTTTTAATGTAATTTATCATAGGTGAGATAACTGGGTTGCAGTGTTTATATTGATACATTTGAATAGTCCAAGTCCAGGAGGTTGGCTTTGTTTATATACCGCACATGAATTAGATCTTGCAGCATGTGTCTTCCCTGTAATTGTGCTTAGCATAATCTCCTGTAATTCCATTTAAGTTTTAGCAGTAGGCAAGAATGTGTTTCTTCTCAAAGCTGAGTAGTATTCCATTGTGTGTTTATACCACACATTTTTATCCATCACCTATCATTGAGTGTTGGGTTGTTTTCATATCATGGCTATTGTAAACAGCACTGTAGTGAACATGAGTTTGCACATCTCTTTTCAGATTGATGTTTTGGTGTTGCCAAGTATTGGAATTGCTGGGTCATGTGGGGTTCTATATTAATTTTTTTTGAGAGTTTTCCATACTATTTTCTTCAAAGACTGCACCAGATAACAGGAAATATGTTTTTTAAATCACAAAATCCATGAATTGTTTTAATGCTTAATTCCAATTTTATCATTTTAGTGTATACTGTGTGTTTATAGTACTTCCCTAAGTTTTTTTAAACCTGAAAAAGGATACTAACTCATAAGTCTGAAACTCACTAGAAACTATTAGTTTCTCTACTTCTATATGTATAAATTTTTACCTAGTATCTCTTTCCAGATTCCCAGGGCACGGGAAAAGTTCCAACGTAAATTCCAGATTAGTTTTTTCCTACTTATTTTCACTTGTGTATTCTCCCTTTGCTTTTGGATCTCATAATATTAACGAAAACAGTTAGTGAATTCTGAATAGCTTGAAATGATATTTCTAAATATTCTTACCAGAATTAAGAAATTATTTTTTCTACAAGTATTGTCAGTGATGGGTCATGGTGTGGATTAAAGAAAGTAACGAAATGCCATATCTTTGATTTCTAAAAACTAAGAGGCACTTACGGAAACACATTTATAAAGTCTCTTAAAAATTTAGTAATCAAATATAGTTTGCTTTCTCTAAGTCTGGGTATTCTCACTAATGCCATTGATTGCTGGATTTCTGTCTTTAGGAGATCATAAAAGCAGAAGATTGAAATGGGCTTCAGGGAAAGAGTTCTCTAATTTCATGAAGTGGTCCATTCCTGCCTTCCTTTATTTCCTGGATAATTTAATTGTCTTCTACGTCCTTTCCTATCTTCAGCCAGTAAGTAAATATCAGAGAAAAAAAATATTAAGAGGTCTGGGGGAATAGTTCAGGGGTCAGAGACTCGTAGCACGATAAAATTTGGCCTATCTCGATTTGCCAAGTATCATTCAGAGTGGTCCCACGCCCCCTAAGCACTTCTTGAGAGACCTCTCAAAAATTTAATTAAATTTAAAATAAATTTTAAAAAGAAAATCACACTGGGAAAATGCAGAGAGATGTGTCACAGAACTAATCAGGTTCTTTTGCTTTGTTGTTAGTTTCTCGTTGTCCTCCCTGATTGTTTGTCCAGAATCTACTGAACACCGAATTAGCAATCTGTTGGCAGACAGACATTCACCCTGTTAAAGATACTATACTGTATTGACCACCCAGGATAGGCGACAGGATGGGTAGAACTCATTGAGAAATTGATCTTGAGCCATCTCGTTATGTAGAACTTTAATGTCTGCCTACTTTTTTCCTGAGCCATCCTATGGTCACAAACATCTAATAATAACATCAAGTACCTCCCAGCAGACTTCCAAGATTAACGAGAAAATTTTGTATTCAGTGTCCCCCTCTCTTTTTCACACATGCTTTAAAATAGCTTGTATTTTATTTTTCTGTTAATCTTAGCATTTAACCAATAGCTTCTAGAAAAACGATAGAGTTTGTAACCTCCCAACCTCTAAGTGCTAATTATAACTGGTATATTAGTGTTATTTTTCAGCTCTCCTGCATCCCGTAGAGAGCCATTAATTATCAGGATTAAAATTTGTGCTCTGCTTTTTTCATGGTACTCCATTGTGTCTGTACATTTTCTCAAATTTTGGGTTTTAGAATAGGTGAAAAGGAGGTGTGAATTGAACTCTGCAATAGAAAAAAAAAAGTTTGATCCTTTACCATGCTTTGAAACCATGTGACTGAGTAAGTCCCAGCTGTTTTAAATTTTAGTTGCCTGTTCATAAAATGATACCAGGCCAACTTAAAATCAGGACTATAGGCCAGGTAACCACCTGAACGTTCAGCACCGTGATCCCTAGCAATAGTACCTAGAATGTTACCTCTACTGATTTATTACATCCACTTTGTTTTCTCAGGTCCGAAAATTTCTATGCCCAGTTCACATTGAGTACATATTGCTTATATTTTATTTGTTTCCAGCAGAATTATTTCAAAAGACAAACCTTCCCTACATCCCCAATATGAAAGAATAATTGCATTTTTTAATTTCTTGTCCAGCTTCTTGCTTAGCTCTTCCTTCCTGATTGTGTCCAACTGCAGATATTACAAAATAAGTCACATGGCATATTCAGTATTTGCTGTGTCTAAGTCTAATTGAAAAGAATCCAACAGAGATAGCATGACAGTTTGGACACGAAGAGCTCAGATGTTTGTATTTTTTGTTTTTTCCTCAGTGGAGTTTTCGAAGCTCATCAGACCAACCAGGCTGGTGAGTGATGAGCATTTGCACAGCCTTTACTGTTTTTGACCAGGGCTACCACTTCCTCACTCCCGTGGCCACTTAGTATTGTCCATTCCTTCACTCTTCTAGAGGTTCACAACATTTGTCCACAGAGAACATTGAAAAATCCTGTAAAATTTTGACTCCCATAAAAACTTAATTGGAAGAAGGTGTTATATTCTTGGAATTATTCTAGCTTTGTTGTTTTTGCTCTTCTGTTCTTGTTTTGGTTTGGGGAACACACCTTTTGGTATTCTGGCTACTCACAGTATGGTGCTTGAGGGACTGAAAAACAACTTTCATAAACATTGACATGTATCTAAATATTTAGAATGTGAGTGAAAGAATTGTCAAATTTGTTTGATATTGTCACTCAGTTGAAGTGGGAAAATTGATTCAATTCTTAGAGTAGAAAAGATATTTAAAAATCTGTGTCTCAATTTCCTTAATGTGTAAGTGGACCTAACAGTACCTATCTTCTCTCAGTAGAAGCAGTATGCAAAATTAATAAAGCACCTTGAGAGCTTGAAAAAGAACACTTAATAAGCATGATAATCTTATTCCTAGAACTAAACCTTTAGAGTTCATACATAGGATTCCAGATCTTCACCTATAGATGACTTAACACAGGCATATGCTGAATTTCAAAATATTTTCAGGTCTGTATATAGTAATTGGATTGCATCTATATGAATTTAACAAGCAACTGAAAAGGAATTGAATCCGTTAGTAAAATCGCTTCCTTAATACTCTCTCATTTTTGACTAAATTTTTTTTAACCAAGGCAAACCACCAAGCTGGGAAGTTTCTGAGGTCAGTACTAGCTTTGGATTGTCACTCTATATTCTCTTTCTTTCTAGGCCATGGCTGTTATCTTCTCAAATTTTGGCATAATAACAACAGCTCTTCTATTCAGGATAGTGCTGAAGTAAGTAACTTGCTCGAAAGAATTACCATATCTAAAAACGACACTGCCTTTATTCAGGTGGTATACCCAAAGCACTGAACCTTTTGAATCCAAGACCAAGATTTTGCTGCTAATTGGCTCTGTGTTTTAGACAGGTTGTTTGACCCATCTGTATCGCAGTTCCAGTGCCGACCTGTTTGATCCTTGGCAATTTGATACACGAATGTTTTCTTAGCATCTTAAAAGCATAATTGAGTTATACATTAGTATTTTAATTTTTAGTACCACGTTTTCAAAATTTAGCAAAAGGCCACAAAGGTGGGGCGGGGTGGCGGGGGATAGGAGGGCTACTGGGATCATTGGTGGTGGAGAATGGGCACTGGTGGAGGGATGGGTACTCGAGCATTGTATAACTGAAACCCAAGCACAAAAGTTTGTAAGTCTACAACTCTACCTCATGGTGTTTCACTAATAAAAAAAAAAGTTGGAATAAACAGAAAAAAAACATAAAATAAGACTAAAAATGAAAAAAAAATTAATTTATAAGAATTTTCTTTAAAATTATTTTTATGCAGATATATGTGTATTTATCTATGAGGCAACATTTGTTTGCCAGAATATAAATTGTCTTTTGTCTTAAATATTAAATAACTATACCTTTCAGTACAAATACACCAGAACCATATTTTTCTCCTTCACAGAATTTTCTCAGAAATTAACTTTTAATTTTTCAAAGTGACTTTCATGTTAATTTTAAAGATTGATAGGTTTTTGGAATAGCAATCTTTCTGGTTGCAAGTATTTTCAAAATTCCTAGATAAAATGAAGAACATGTTGCAAAAGAAATTTTAGCGTACTCTTGGTGCACACCAAGAAACAAGAAATTAAGAAGAGGAAATAAATGTGAAAAAAAACCCCAACCATAACACATTTTACTTTATTTAATAAAGTATTTAATTTTTTTTTTACTTTATTATTATAGTCAAATACTCTTCCACTGAGCTATACCGCCACACTTGACAGTGCTACAGTGCTGCTTTATTATTATCATCATTACTAGGTAATAAATGCGTTAAGGACCTCAGAGTCCATGCTATCCTTGAGTTAGGACATATGTTTTGCAGTAGTACCTACTGAAAATATTTACTAATGTGAGATAAATCTGTGTATTTGAAATTCTTACATCAAAACCAAAAAAATATTTCTATGAGAAAATTTAGAGGAATTCAAAAAGATGAAGGAAGACATTAAAAAAAGTTTTTTTAAAAGACCCCTGAAAATGGAAAGACTGGTGACAGCATTTTGAAAAACTATTATTCTTATTAATTATGTTGATTAGAGTCCATTATCTTCCATCAAAGTTTTGCAATTCAAAGCTCAAGTAACAAATAATCAAACATGTTATAAACTAATTGGTTCCCTTCTAGCATGTAGTAATCTTTTAAAAATATCCTAGAGGAGGTCAAAGAGATAATACGTAGGTAGGGTGCTTGTCATGCATGCTGCTGACCCTTAGTTCAAAGCCCAGCACCACATCTAGTCCTTTGAGTCCCGCCAGGAGTGATGCACTGAGTGCAGAGGCAGGAACCTGTAAGTACACTGGGTATGCACCCAAAACAAAAACACAAAAAGAGTGTGGGCCAGTCTCTGTGGTGTGAGATAATATCTCATTGTTGTTTTGATCTGCATCTCCCTGATGATTAGTGATGTAGAGCATTTTCTCATGTGGCTTTTTGCCATTTGGATTTGTTCTTTGAGAAAGTTTCTGTTCATTTCATCGCCCCATTTTTTGATGGTGTTGGATGTTTTCTTCTCATGAGTTCAACCAGTGCTTTGTAAATCCTTGATATCAACACCTTATCGGATGGGTATTGGGTGAATATCCTTTCCCATTCTGTAGACTGTCTTTTTATTTTGGTCACTGTTTCTTTTGGAGGCTGGAGCGATAGCACAGCAGTAGGGCGTTTTCCTTGCATGCAGCCAATATGCCGACCCGAGTTTGATTCCTCCGTCCCTCTTGGAGAGCCCGGCAAGCTACCGAGAGTATCTCGCCCGCACAGCAAAGTCTGGCAAGCTACCCGTGACATATTTGATACGCCAAACACAGTAACAAGAAGTCTCATGATGGAGACGTTACTGGGCCCACTCAAGCAAATAGATGAACAACAGGAGGACCGTGACCGTGACCATTTCTTTTGAGGTGCAGAAGCTTCTTAGTTTAAGATAGTCTCATTTATTATCTCTTTTTTTTACTTGCTTGGTCAGTGGTGTGTCATCTTTGAAGATACCATTAGCCTCAATGTTGTGGAGGGTTTTTCCAGTCTTGTCATCAGTGTACCTTATGGATTCGGGTCTGCTGTTGAGGTCTTTAATCCATTTTTATCTTACTTTTGTATATGGTGTTAGGTAGAGATCTGAGCCCACTTTTTTGCATGTAGCTGTCCTGTTTTGCTAGCATAATTTATTAAAGAGGCTTTCCTTGGGGCTGAAGCTATAGCACCGCGGGTAGGGCATTTGCCTTGCATGCAGCCAACCCGGGTTTGATTCCCAGCATCCCATATGGTCCCCTGAGCACCGTCAGGGGTAATTCCTGAGTGCAGAACCAGGGGTAACCCCTGTGCATCGCCAGGTATGACCCAAAAAGCAAAAAAAAAAAAAAAAAGGCTTTCCTTGCTCCACTTCACTTTTCTTGCTCCCTTATCAAAGATTAGATGATCATATGTTTGGGGGGAGATGTCAGTATATTCAACCCTGTTCCCTTGATTGCAGCTCTGCCTTTTTTCCAGTACCGTGCTGTTTTAATTATTACTGCTTTGTAGTAGAGTTGAGGTTGGGGAGGTTGATTCTTCCCATTTTTTTTTCCTAAGAATTACTTTAGCTGTTCATGGGAGCTTATTGTTCCATATGAATTTCAGGAGTGTTTGCTCCATTTCTTTGAAGAATGTCATGGGTATCCTTCTAGGGATCGCATTGAACTTATACAATGCTTTGGGGAGTATTGCCATTTTGACAATGTTATCATGACTAGGGGTGTCTTTCCATTTCCTCATGTCCTCTTTTATTTCCTAAAATAGTATTTTGTAGTTTTCTTTGTACAGGTCTTTTACGTCTTTAGTTAAGCTGATTCCTAGGTACTCGAATTTCTGGGGCACAGTTGTGAACGGGATTTTTTTTTATGTCAAAAACATGTTCTTCTCTTTCACTGTTTGCGTATAGGAAAGCCATGGACTTTTGGGCATTGATTTTATAGCCTATAGTTTTACTATATGAGTCTGTTGTTTCTAGGAGTTTCTTGGTAGAGGTTTTAGGGTTCTCTAAGTATAGAATCATATCATCTGCGAATAACGAGAACTTGATTTCTTCCTTTCCTACCTGAATGCCTTTAATATCTTTTTCTTGCCTAACCACTATTGCAAGTACTTCCAGTATTATATTGAACAGCAGTGGAGAGAATGGACATCCTTGTCTCGTCCCTGATCTTAGGGGGAAGGCTCTCAGTTTTTCCCCATTGAGGATGACACTTGTCATAGGCTTGTGGTAGATGGCTTAGACTACATTAAGAAAAGTCCCCTCTATACCCATTTTCATCATAAACAAGTGCTGAATCTTGTCAAATGCGTTCTCTGCATCTATTGATATGATCGTATGGTTTTTATCTTTTGTTGATATGATGGATTATGTTGATATTTTTGTGAATGTTAAACCATTCTTGCATCCCTGGGATGAATCCCACTCGGTCATGGTGTATGATCTTTTTGATGAGTTATTGAATTCTGTTTGCTAGTATTTTGTTGAGAATCTTCGCATCTGTGTTCATCAGGGATATTGGCTTGTAGTTTTCTTTTCTTGTGGTGTCTTTGTTTCCTTTTGGTGTTAGAGAGATTTGAGCTTCATAGAAACTGCTTGGGAGAGCTTCTGTTTCTTCAGTTTCCTGGAAAAGCTTGAGAAGACCTAGCAATAGGTCCACTTTAAATATTTGGAAAAATTCACTAATGAATCCATCTGGACCTGGGCTTTTGTTTTTGGGAAGACTTTTGATTACAGTTTCAATTTCCTTGATATTTATAGAACTATTCAGGTATTCTGGATCTTCTGATTCAGTCTTGGGAGATTATAGGAATGCAGGAATTTATCCGTTTCTTCTAGGTTCTCTTGTTTTATGACGTACAGACTTTCAGAGTAATCTCTGATGATTTTTTGAATTTCCTGATTCGGTTGAGGTGTGCTTTGTGGCCCAACACATTTTTTTATTCTGGAATATGTTCTGGAAAAGAATGTGTAATTCTCTATTTGGGGGGGGGTATAAAGTTCTGTATAAATCTCTGAGCCCTCTGTCTTCTATTTCTTCCTTCAGAGCCATTATTTCCTTGCTGAGTTTCAGTCTTCTTGATCTTTCCAGGGGTGATAAGGTGGAGTTGAGGTCTCCAACTACTATTGTGTTGCTTGCAATGTTCTTAAGGTCTGTTAGCAGTTTTTGTAGGTATTTGACTGGTCCTCATTGGGTGCGTATACGTTTAGGAGTGTGATTTCTTCCTGCTGTACATATCCCTTGGTTAATAAAAAATGGCCTTCACTGTTTCTTCTAATCTTTTTCAACCTGAAATCTTCGTTGTCCGATACTAGTAAGGGCACTCCAGCTTTTTTGAGGGGGTTGTTTGCTTGCAGGGTTTGTTTTCCATCCTTTGACTTTGAGTCTGTGTTTGTTCTGATTGTTCAGATATATTTCTTATAGGCAGTAGAATTTGGGTTCTGTTTCTGAATCCATTTTGCCATCCTGTCTCTTAATTGGTGAATTTAGACCATTGATGTTGAGAGAAATTATTGTTATGGGGTTTTGTGTCATCTTCCTGTAATGATTTGTTCTGCTTCTAGGGGGTTGTCATGTCTTACAGTAACTTCTTTATTCCTTCTTTTAGGTTTGGATTTTAGTCTATGAAGTTTGTAAGCTGTTGTTTATCCACAAAATAGTGTATAGTTCCTTCGAGTTTGAGTGAGAGTTTAGCCGGATAAAGTATTTAAAG